TCTCATAAACTGCGACACGAAAATCACAGTCCTACATAGGTACAGGCTTCCAGGCAACAAGATCCGCCCCCTCAGTCGCTTCTTCACACGCATCTTAAGTAATGAGGAAAACAACCTTGCGCTTCACAACAGCCCAGAAGGCATGGAGATTTTCACAGACCGACTACTTGAAAACCTTAAAGCAGCCTGTAATGAACTACTCCCCACACGCGCAGCGAAGAAAATACCAGGAGTTAAGTGGTGGACGAAAGAGCTCAGACAACAACGGCAAAAATGCAGAGCTATCAGACGCCGCATACATTCCACCACCAATGAAGACAAGAAAATCCAACAATTAGCGACATTCCGCAAAGAGCGTGCTCTTTACAAAAACAACATACTAGCGGCCAAAATTACCAGTTGGAGGAAATTTTGCACTGAAAACAGCAATCCGTATGGAATCCTCTACAAGCTAGCCTCAAGTAAAATATATCAGCCAGCTCAAATCTTCATGCAGCCACCAAATACAAGCAACGACAATCCAGTACAAAATACAGCCACCACAATCCTCAACGAAGTCTTCCCCACAGACAACGCGGAGGAAGATACGCCAGCACAGAAAATTGTTCGCATGAATACCACCATCCCACCGACTCTACATGATATACCATTTAGTGACAAGGAAGTCAAGCAAATTTTCCGACACCTACCCCTGAAAAAGGCCCCCGGTCCGGACGGCCTGGACTATAGCATCATCAAAGTTGCCTACAAAGCACGCCCCTCCTTCTTCTACAAATTCTTTAACCAACTGTTTGACAACCAAATATTACCGCAAGCATTCAAGAAAGGACAAGTTGTCCTATTCCTGAAAAAGAATAAAAGCCCGCAAGACCCGCGCTCTTTTTGCCCGATATGCCTTTTGCCAACCCTGGGCAAAATTTACGAGAAATTAATTGTTAACAGACTAAAATATCATCTCCATAGCAACAATCATCTCAGCTCCAGGCAGTATGGCTTTCGCACAGGTCTGACCACTACGCATGCCCTCTGCAAAATTCGTGAAACAATTCAACGCAATAGCACCACAGGTTTCCATACAGCTTTCATATCCATTGACCTCCAGAGTGTGTCCAGCGATAAGACAGGCCCTCCGAGACGCACAGTGTCCATCCAACCTCCTCAGCGTTTTTAGTAGTTATCTAAAGAATCGTAGTCTTCTCATAGCCATCAAAAACGATACTACCTTCAAAGTGCAAGAAAGAGGATGTCCCCAAGGCTCTTGTGCTGGACCGATTCTCTGGAATTTAACATTCAACGCTGTACTGGATGCAAACTGGCCACGACATACAAGTGTCATCGCCTACACAGACGATGCAGCTCTTCTTGTCAAAGGTCGCACTCGTGCGGAGCTCGAGAAAAACGGCACTGAAGTCTGCTCCCTCCTCGCCAATATCTGCAGCAACTTAAAGCTTACGATCTCTACCGCAAAGTCATCAGCAATAATAATACCCAAAGCAGGCACGAATCCAACGCGCCGCCCCTGCATCAAACTACAAGGAGCCAACATAAAGATTGTCCAAACGCTAAAATACCTAGGTGTAATCTGGGATAAGAAACTAACCTGGATCCCTCACATCCAAGAACTAAAAAACAAAACATCAGCTATAGCCAGAAAGGCCCGCGCCTTCCAAGGTAAAAACTGGGGTCAGAATCATCATATTCAGAAGATCCTCTACCATGTGGTAGCTGAAAAAATAGTCTTGTATGCTGCTGCCGTATGGGCCCAACCGATGGGAGGACGAAAGATCAAACATCTTACATCTCTTCAACGACCATTCGCCCTGAATCTCTGTAAAGCGTACCGCACCACAGCCACCAGCTCAGCGACAGTCCTTGCAGGGCTCATTCCACTCCACATGCGGGCAGAACAAGAGGCAGTCTACACCACCCTCATATACCTCCGCAAAGATGCAACATTTGGCAACTTAACATACAGCCCTCTGCAATTTCAAAGCCCAGGTAACACTCTTCACACTCATCCTGCACGTAAAGGCACAGGAATAAGAATTAACATCTCACGGATACAGCCACTGTCAATGACACGAATTTCAAGGGATACGCAAATATACACCGACGGCTCTAAGCAGGAAGACGGAGTAGGCAGCGCCTTTGCACACTATGACAAAGGAAGAATCATCCATGTATGGAAAGGACGCCTTGACTTAAACAACAGTGTGTTCCAGGCGGAGGTGCAGGCAATTATAACCACGGTAGATTACATTTTCAATAATAATATAGAATGGGCGAAAACTTTCACTGACAGTATGTCAACGCTTCTAGCACTAGATAATCACAACCACACCTCGCCCTTGATCATCAAATTACAACTTTTACAGCGCAACCCGCAGAAACATCTCTCCTCAACATGGATCAAGGCACATGCAGAAAATGAGGGGAATGAAGCAGCTGATAGCCTGGCCAAGCAAGCAGCCACTGATCCAGAAGCTGAAAAAAATCACAATCCCAGCCCCTCCTTCCTACCTCAAAGGGCTATTACGGGGTCAAGGCCTAAATCTTTGGCAGGAAGACTGGACGCACTGCACAAGTGGAAGACGTACATACAGCTACCTCCCGAAAGTCAGCACTGAACGCAACATTGCAATAGCTCCTCTTACGGCTTATATTACGGGACACAGCCCATTCCCGACCTACTTCAATAGACATGGCATAACAACCACGGACATATGTGCCTGTGGAGCGGAAGGCTCCCCAGACCACTATGTTTTTGAATGCCATCTGACAGCAGGAAATCACCTCCCTCTTCCCATCAACAATAGTGAAGCTTATCACCGCTTCCTTATAAAGCACAAACCGGCAGTAAATACAATTTGCAAAGTTGTTAACAAGCTCAAGAGAATGGGCCAAGATTTGTGCTCTCCTCATTAACCAAAACTGTCAAGGCATGATACACAAAAAAAAAAAAAAAAAAAAAAAAAAAAAAAAAAAAAAAAAAAAAAAAAAAAAAAAAAGAAAAAAAAAAAAAAAAAAAAACTAACTAAGTCAGCATGCAGTTCCACATTCTCAGACACATAAGTCTACTCCTAAAACTTACATAAGTCCCTATTACAGACACCTTTCAAATAATGTGCAATCAAATGTATTTAACATTTCCTCTTCTGTATATGCATAATACTTAATTTTTTATTTATTTATTTATTTTATTTTATTTTTATTTTTTTTTCCCCCTATGAGCCTGTATTTTAATCCTATTATTTTGTAACTGTATTTTTGTATCTGTATATTTAATTTGTATTCTTATTTGAATTTTATTGTGAATGTGCAAAATTACCATAGCAAATTGCAACAACAAATGTCAAAACGGTAAAACGAATGCAATCTGCCCCCCTTGTATGGCCATGTGAATGCTCTTGTTAACATCCTAAAAAGCTCCCGAGGCGGCCTCTTGAGGCCCCAGGGAGTTGTTCCTGGTTAGTGGAGGGCGCGGGACACATGCTTGTTTACCTCTGTTAGACATCAGGCGTTCCCGTCCTCCGTTACCAACCGACCAACCAACCCCCTCCCCCCGCATGTGCTTTCCATCAAAATTAGGGGCAGACTGTACTAAATCACACTGTCTGAATGCTGCTCAAGGCTGTTGCCAATGGCAGGCGTATTCTAGTGGTCCATGCCACAAGGAAGAGCTTGGGTTGACTCAGACAAGTGAGCATAAGCAACAACAGCAAAACTTAAACTGCAGAGCTATTTCGTCAAGGAAATATGCCTGTTAGGCAAGGAATGGTAAAAAAGATAAAAATTTAAATAACTGTGTATATAAATTTAAAATGTATAGTTAGGTAAAGCTTTGTGTAGTTTTACAATCATTGGTTTCAGTACTCTCGAAAGGCAAAAAGTTGCATCATGGAAAATGGGGCCATTAAATTGCTTTCCCCAGACTTTATTGATCAATAGAAATGCTTCATATGGAAGGACTCCGTAGTACTGAGAGAGAAAGAAAATTAAAATCCCAAGGTAGCAGCATTAGGATTTATTTATTTTAAAAAAAGCCTTCAAAATTTCTCATGCTTTAACAAAAATTGCTTCATGACCCAGAGCCTTTTTCTCAGTAGAACATAACTGCTTACTGTTAAATTATCCAGCTACAACATGTGATTTTTAATTGAAGAAAGGAAATGTGAAACCATCCCTTAATTTCTTATGCTGTATTAATTAGAATTATTTCAAATAAATATCCAAAAGAAAACTGGCTTCATGTTTATACTGATGGCCAGCTGGAAAAGACAAATCCTCAGGTGCTAAATTCTATTGCATAATTATTTTAAGTGGAATAACAATATTGGACTCTATGCTTCTAATCTTGAGCAGAGATTGCAACCATTATTAGATTTTCATTTTAAAAAACTTCTTGAAGGTGAGCTGTTCTCTTTGATAATTCCCAAGCTGCTATTGTAGCTGTAAGTTCTTTTTAAAAAAGTAACTCAGCTTGAGTAGATGAAGTAAAAATGAATACTTGTCAAATTATTCATTCAGGATTGGAAATTGTGTTGCAATGAATTCTACGCTACTGCAACTTCCCAAAGATGGCTTATACCCTTGTAGATCTGAAAAACCTCTTTCTTTGTGCTATACCATCTAGTTTCTTTATAAATTAAAAGGATCATGAAAATTCTAATTTCCACCCATCACAAAGAGGTTTCTAAAGTGAAATCTTGAAATGATCTATACATTTCTCTTCTTTCATCGAGTCTTGCAGTTTTTAATGGACATTTTAGAATACTCACCAAATATGATATTATACAGGTACATCTGCACCATCTGGGTAATGTACACTTTTCTTTGCTAACTCCTCTGACTGCTTTTTCTGCCACTGCATAAAGCTAAATTATTTTAATGATTATAATTCTGACAACTTCAAGGCATTTTTATATTGTCTGTTTGATGGAAAATGGCTAATGCAACTTCATCCTTAACATTAAAAAAATATTGGAATCAAAAAATTAATATACATAATATATATATAGTTTTAATATTAAAAATACACAATATGATACAATTCAACTTTCAAACTGAGATGAAACATGCATTATATAAAGCTTAATTCATTTCAATAATTTTGAGAATGAATTCTCAATAAAATTCAGTACTGTGATTTTAAAAAATAAATTTATGCAATATTTAAAATTTTAATAGATTTTAAAGAATTTAAAATTTTAAATCGAATTTTAATAGATTTTAAAATTTAGTACTCTAATTTTAAAAAATAAATTTATGCAATATTTAAAATTTTAATAGATATTTAACTCCAGTGTATTAACACCTAACACTAGATCTGCATGCTTATGACTTGATTTTCTTCTTTGGATTTTTCTTTTCTTTTGATGTAGAAGCTTCAGAAGTTGCATTCTTTTTAGTAGGCTTCTTGATCTGTATTAAAACAGTATAAATAAAAGCAGCAAAACCAATTAAAACAATAAAGCAAACATAAAAATTGAAATAAAGTTTACAAATAAGTTCTTGTAACAAAATGTCAAAACAATAGAGACTTTTCTGCAAAACTACTGCAGTTAATTTCTTTTATTGTCTACTATCACTGGTGCATTATTTGAGCCTCAGATACACTCAGAATTATTTAACTCTTTCGCATTGATGGAGGCTAAAATTGGTTTCTCTCAAACATCTGAAATGCTTATATATATGAATTTTTGTTGGAATGGATTTCCTTTCTCCATGCTTTCATATCTATGATGCGTAGAATGACTACTAGCAGACATGACTTCATGCTAACTGGGTATTTTCTATTCAGTAGCAACAGGCATCTGTTTCATTCTTCAAATGCTTCTGGCCACTTCTTTCACCTAAATTTATTCTTCCCATTTGGGGAGGGATACATTTAAAATAGTGATTATCAAGGCTGATACTAAAACTCAACCAGCCATCTCTCCTGTCTACAGTTAGAATGAATTCAATCATAAAGAAGTTAAATAAAGTTTGAAGATGTATTATGCTTTGTTAATCATCTCTGTTTAACAATTTACACTACCATATTTTTATTCTTTTCATAAGTTTTTATTTAGCTCACTTATGGTGTCTGTCATTATGGGCTCTGATTGATTTTTAAATTATTTCCTGACAAGCTAATGAACTCAAATTTTGCACACACACAATTTGTGTATGACAATGCATTGTAAAATTTCACTTTTAATGAAAATTTTTATTTTTAAGCATTTTTTAAAATTGAAAACTTATCTTAAATAATTTCAAAATTTAATTCAAAATATTAGATTTTGTTGAAATAATGTTTTGTATTATCTGCATACCTTTGTTTAGAGAGTAAACTAAAAAAACTCTGAATTTTAATTTTTGCACTAATAGATCAAGAAAAAAAATCTTTTAAATTTTGTTTACTTAAAAATTTTACCAGAATTTGATTTTTTGGAAAATTCTTGAAAACTGCTCTGTTTTTTTAGGACCATTTGATACCTATTATTTAAAATTCAAAATCTTTTATAAAACAATGAAATTTTTATAGATTATAAAATAAAAAAGGGTTCTCTTTTAAAACAAGAATTACAAAAAGATATTAATTTGTCAATTTTCTACACAATTTTTGAAAAAATATGCAAAAGAGGAAATATTACCTCTTCACTGGCCATCACATGACTGGCTTTGAAACATTATTTGAAGTTATATACATATACAAGAAACATTATTTGAAGTTTTTCTTTTTTTTTTTTAAACTTTTGCCTAACTTCTTCTAATATTGATTTATCTCCGCCTTGCTAAAAAGATATAAAAAGGGGGGAATTAAGTTTACTACAGAAGTCTTTTGTGATTTTATAAATGCTACTTTTCCCCTTTTCACTTCCTTGTATGAAGTAAAGGAAGTATTGTAAATCGGGGAAAATTTCAGGTATCATACTTCAACGAAAATATCCATTTTGACCACTCTCGAATCCATTTGAACGATCTTTCTGTGTGACATCTATATATACAGACAGAATAAAGGACTCTTATTCCCAAAACAGATTGAAAAATGGAATTAAAATGGATACAGTGGGGATTTATGAAAAATATCTCTTTTTTAAAACAATTTCATAATTTTATTTTATAAATTTTATAAAGAATAATTTTATAATTTCTGCATGTCATCTTGCTAGATTTAAACAGATGATCTACAATCTGGAAATTTCTGAAATCCGAAATTGACGAATTCAGATCTCGGACTTAGTATTTCATTATATTCTTTTATGGGACTTCAAAATTCTACTAAAAAATGTAACTGTTATAAAAATCTCTAAATTTTTGCAGACTATGAAAACGAATTCTTCTCCCTCTTTTAAAACAAAAATGATTTTTAAAAAAATTCATTAGGTGATTTTCTAGAATTTTTTCAAAACTAGTTGTGTAACTTGCTAGATCGAATGTGTGCCAGATATGATAATTTTTATAAGAAAACTTGAAATTCAGAAGCTGGGTAGCAAAGTCGACTGAAAAAAAGTATACCGTATTTGACGGCATATAAGACGCACTTTTTTTTCCTAAATTTGGTCTAAATAAAAGTTACCTGCGTCTTATACGTGAAGTTTATTTAGTTGCACCATCAAGAGCTGTGGCTGATATTGGAGCACAAGAGAGTGCATTTATGTTCTAAATTCTGTCTAAAATTAAAAAAAAAAAAAAAAGGTTATTTTAATCTTTTCCCAACTTTGTAGTTACTTAACTTACTAAACTTACAACTACTTAATAACTTTGTAGTTACTCACAACTTTGTAGTAGGCATAGTGATAATTCACTTTACATCTGTTAGTGTTTTTGGACTAACTGACATTAACAGATCAAGTAAAAGCTTACAAATGTATGAAAAATATATAAAAGAATATAAAAATAAACTGAAACAACATTTTTCAAATGTCTTGTGATAGCTAATTCTGCAATATACTCGAAGAGTTGATGCTGAAGGTGCATAGTTGTGTAGAAATGCTGTTTTCTGGAAATATCAATCTTAAGTTGAAGGTTGAGAGTAATTGTGGTCATGCTAATTATTATTTTGACTTTATTGTGAGTGGCAGCTCACAAATTACTCACAATTACTCTGTATATACTCACAATTACTCACAATCACAAATTACTCTGTATTGTGTGGTCACATGCTTTTTGTTATTATGGATGGCCTTGTCACTAGACATACTGGAACGGATATAGCAACTAACATTCTCAAGCTAGTCAATGTTTGAATCTATTGATTCTAATTTTTTTAGCACCATATATATCAGCTTAAAAGACTTGGATAATCTTTTTGTTCTAAATTTCTGCAGTTGATTGCCATTTTCTTCAGAATTTCAGAACTCTTCATTGAAACTCAGAAGCAGCACATTAAATATATGTATTATCCACTTACCCCTCTAATTGTTCTCACAGTTGCATACATGTCTTAAGTGTTTGCTATAATCCTTATATCAACTCAACACTTTCAATTTATGGCTTTTGCATAACTATCACATTTTTTCTACAATATTTTATTGAACATCTGCACTGTCTTTATTGCATAATTAAACTTTCAGTAAATTCAGTTTTGCTGCAGTCTCTATGGGTCCTAAATTCTACTACAAAGTGCTTTCCTAAGTTCTAAATTTTCACCGTGCCTTAACTTTGGATCCCAGTGCTTTCCCTATATCATAAAATCTTCTCATCCCTTAATTTTGTCGCTCTGCTTCACCTAAATTACGAAAATTTCGTCTGGCCTAAATTATGCCGTTCGGTGCCGACATATTCTGCCGCCACTTCTGGGTTTATGGTGAATAACATATCAGTTATTCTTAATTAAAATAGCACTAAATGTAATCTTTTGACTATTTGAATCTTTTGAATCTATGAGTTTCATTAACAAAATCTATTTTTAGCATATGAAAAGAAATTTTTGTTGAATTTTTCCTCGTCAACATTTCTTAGAGCATTTAAAAAATCTATAATCATCGCCAAGCATAATGTTAGCATAAAAGGTTGCCATACTATTGTTATTCAACTACTAATATAAAAAAAAGTTTAGACATCACAGCATGAGTTATTACTCTCATGTATTGATAAACATGCAGTGATGAAAGCAAAATATAATAAATAATGACTCGCCAGATCGGCGTCAGGAATATAAAATAGGTGAATTTTGGTTTGAGATCTATGCCAAGTAGATACTCAGCTACGGAGCCAAATTATTAATCTAACAAATTTATGCTTACATGATTGTTTTTCCTTAACAAGGTATTTTACTTAGTGCCTAAATGAAATTAAGAATCGGAATTTTTAAGTGAAAATCTCCACAGGTTTTATTATGGAAGGAAAAATCAGATGTGCATGCGTAAAGCATTTAAAAAAAAAAAAAAAAAAAATCGTGGCATTTAGGTCCAGATTTTAGATTATTCCGAATAATGGGCATCCGGATTTCGCACTTTGTACTGTATATATAAAACTGAATAATTAAAATTATGTCTTGTAAATTATATGTACATTTAATTTTCATTTAAGTCCTCAAGCATGTATATCACTAAATCTACTAATATATGGTTGAAGGAAGTATTTTAAATCACTACTAATCATAGAAAAAAATCAGAATCCATAAATCATATATCTTTATTCTGGATTTGATTTCCGCAAAAAAATAGAATTAAAACACATTTATATAACCAAGAATAATACATATAACTATTAAAAAAATATACAATTTATTTATAAATTATGAATGCAAAGATTTATATGTAGCATGCTTAGCAAGCTAAAGTTCTGATTTTGAGAATGTTTTCTGGTAACACAGTTCTTCATTTACCTGCATATTTATTAGTTCAATAATAACTGCTTCGACCTAAATTTGGTCGAAATTCAGTCTGATGATTTTTTAATAATACAAACAAATTCTTTTATAAACTGCACTGAATGAGGTATTATTCAGACAGTAAGCATTAAACAATAGGTGATAATTTGTATTTAATACACCCATTCATATTTTTTTAATTTAGCAATTTCTCCTCATGCTATATCAATACATAAATCTACAATTTCTTTCAAATCATCTATTTGATACATAGAAAACTCAATTTCCACTTGATTAAGATATTTTTCATCAATAATAGATGGGAAAGTATTCATCAAGGAAAGAACAGATGAAAATGAAACTTCAGTTACCAAGTTGATGTCAGCAACTTTGACATGTTTTATACATGGATCACTAGTGGAAATTTATCGAACTTTTTTCCAAATAAAAATATATATCTATTAACAACATTTTGATTTCTGAGCCAATTAATTTTTCAGTAGCTTTTTTTGCAGGTATATGAAAGACAATCTCGGATGGTTATATTATATTTGGTTGATGCATTTTGCTACACGATGCTACACCTTTAAATTTTCCCATCATATTACTAGCATTAATTACCTGAAGAAAATGATAAGCAATTTTTCCATTCTAAACCTCTGCTTATAAGGTTTTAATATATATAATTAAAAATACCTTCTCCGGTATTATTCATGCATTCTCAAATAGAAATAATGAAGTAATTATCACTCCCTTTTCTTTGCTATAATATGTTATAATCAAACAGCACTGTTTGTTATTATTATTACTTCCATCAGTTCTTAGAGAAAATGATGTTTGCACAGTGATTTTATAATATTGGCAACAGTATTTTCTGCAAATGTTTTCACAATAAATAGCAGTAGTTTTGGTATGGTCGCAGCTAAATCTTTTTGCTGTGGCAGAATCCGGAAACATTGAAATGAAACAAAACAGCATTCGGCTTTTATATCATTTGTTTCATCATCTTTTATGAAGAAATTTTTTATTTCTTTAGATTTTAGTGCCAAGTTCTTTATGCTTTTGAGAAAAAACATGCCGTTTAGTCATCCTTTTTGCCATGCACATACGAGAAGTCTTTATTGCACACACTGCAATGTGCGCGATTCACAGAAATTTCAGATGCTTTAATGCATGGAAATCCTGAAGAATATGAATCTTTAAATTTCTGCTTCGATAATTTTAGCTTCTTCATTCCAGGCAGCATAATTAACAAAAAACTTCCAGCTTAATCCTAGATCCCACACTGCGTTCTCACCGTAATCTAAACAATGGAGTTATTGACAACTATTGACAAGTGATTAATGGTTGGAGTTACTGGTCTATGATTGGCTATTCTTCAAAACCAGCAACGCACTCAACACGTGATATATGATGACACGAGTATTCAGCCAATCATTGGATGAATTAGTTGGTTCCTTTATGCGTACTAGTTCTCCTATCCTGTTTCTGTAAAATCCGTAGTTTTTTCCATACTTTTCGTAGCTTGTAGTTTTTTTATGAATTTGTAGAAACTACGGAGAATCTGCAGTAGTTGGAGTCTATGTATATGTAAATATTAGCTATACTCAAGCAAGGTATGTATGCTAAATGCAAAATAAGTTTTCAATAGAATTTTGATCATTCATTTATCAAAATATATGGGTCTGTGAAACCACAGTCACAACATCTATTGCAATTTTAGTCAAATTGCATATTATACTAGTCACAAATACACATATACACAAATATTTCCAATATCAACAGCTACTAATTTGAAGTTGAACTGAATATCAAGTATGAAAGAAATTGTACTAATTTATTTAAAAGAAATAAGATAAAATTAAATTTACATTCTGCATATTAAAACTGTTTATCACTGTTTACTATTCCAATAAAAATATTTAAATGGCACTGAAATTTATTAATTCTACAAGAAACATTTTCATAGATGAAAATGAATCTAATAGTAAAGAAACCGAACTTATGAAAAATTACCTTGATCATGGCATCATTTTCCAAACTATCATCTTCTTCCTCTTCTGATTCATATGCATCATCCTCCAATTCCCCTTCTAAATCTCTTGCTGAACGCTTTTTCTTCTTTACATTGGTTACAGCATATGGGTTCTTCCCACCTTCTTTATTATATGCTCTTGTAAAAGCACTTTTTACCTTTAGTAATACACCAAAAATGATTAAGTCACATTTACTACGCCTGAATGAACTTCAATTAAAACATAATATTAATTTACAATCCTTCCTTTTAAAATAACCCTAAGAAAATCTTTTCTATCTACAAGTGTTGAGTATTACTTTACAGTGTACAGTGAATGTATTAATTTACAGAGAATAGTGAATTTATAATGTTAATAGAGAACAAATTTTTAATATATTATTGTTTAAACTCTATTTTTTTCATTTGAATACAGTAAAGCTCTTAATAAGCTAGCAAAAAGAATTGTATTGATCAAAAGCGGAGATGTTCATTCCCATGAGGCTACTCACCTTGGGGTCAGAGGTCGGAGGACCCCTTTATTTCCAATCTGAACATGTGTTTTGCTCGTTGGAGGCGTGTTTGCTTTTCTGAAATGAGAACTTTGTGATTTGTTAATCACAACTCGTGTTGCATCTTTGACAGCAAAATAGTTAAAAACCTTCCTTGAAGTTTAGCACGAGAATGAGCATGTTACTTTTAAAAGGGATTAGATATTTCTTAGAAATTTTGCGGTAAATTATTGCTTTTTTTCTTGATGGTTAGAGAGAGTTGAAGATAAGTGTTTGATTGGGTAAATATTAATTTATAGTTAATTTGAGACAATTATGAACTTAGAGGTAGTCCGTTGGTTAGAGTTACCCAGGTTTTAAAAGTTGTTGGACGATAGGCAGGTGCAGATTTTTTTCACCTTATTGAAATTTGGAAAAAAAGGGGGGGAGAAGAGAGAGAATAAAGTTTTTGACAGTAGTCCAGCAGCCTAGCAGCTGACTACGGTCTAAGAATCCAGTTTTTCCAGGTGACGAAGAATTGGTTTGTCGCACTTCTTAGCTGCCCCAGCCACGAATGAAAAGTTGCATGCAAATTATTTAAGAGTGTCATTGTTCCTGTAGCTGACTAGAAGAGTTCCTTTCTTTTTAATGGAAAAAGGTGATTTTTAGCCACTGAGACTTTAGCTTGAAATTTCAGGTTTTTTGTGGCCTAAAGTGTTGAGGAAATTGCCTGCTTGCTAAAAAGGGTGCGTGGATAGTTTGAAAACGTCTTAAACTCTACAGGACTAAATGATCAGCCCAAGCATATTAGATATCATGGAACCTCTTTAAGTTAGATATGGAAAACACCATGCTTATTTGGTGAGGACCTTCAATTTAATTTATGGAGCATTGTGTTCGGAATCTATGAGCGATTTATTTTCCTTAATATTTAAGTGTTAAGATTTTGGAAGGTTAATTTCGAAGGCATGAGCATTCATTTTTAATGTTAGATGAAAATCTGAAATGTTACTAGCTACTAAATTAATAATTGAGAAAGTGAATTTTAAAATGTTTATTTGATATAAGTTATAACTTAAATTAAATTAATAGATGAGGGAAAATCTTAATGTTTCATTAAAGAAAATATCACTGATTTAAGGTGCATAGAATATATTAAGTAATTTAATTAATGAAATGTCAGATGATGAAATATTGCTGTATTACTGGTGAGGGAAATTAGTATGTTCCTCAGATTTAGTTTGAGATGTGAGTTTTAATTTGTGAGTGACTTTAAAATAAAGTTCATGTAGGGTCTGTATTCAGTTTTCCCAGTTATTTTAATTTATGCTATTCAAGAAAACTTAATAAATGTGTTTAGTGGTTTAATATTGTATGTTTTATTTGAGTTATTTTATATAGTGGCTTGTTTCATGTAATCCATGTGATCTTAGAGGAAACATGGATTTTTTTATTCGAACCGGGGAGGGGATAAAGTTATAGAGGAAGTGTAATTGGGAAATTAATTTTATGTGTATCTGAACTATATGATCGGATTTTTATTTTACTTGAACTGGTGATTGAATTCTTTCTAGTGTAGTTAATCCTTCCCTGGTGATTTGAAGTGTTCTATGTTTATATTTAAATGGATAGAGTTTGGGGCTATCTTAGAAATTGTTGTACTGATACTTACATTTTTCAGGAAAGACAGAGAATTTAGTTTTATTTTATTGGGAAATGGCATTTATATAATTTGATGGTGAATTGCATTTTCACATTTTGTATTTAATTGAAAAATAATCTTTTGATTTTATACCCAAACACCAGAGAGAATATTATCTCATTTCTGGATAAAGATATTGACAAAATAGATTGAGCTTTGAAATACTATAAATTAGTTTACAAAGTTGATAATGCAAGCAATTTAGTTTAACTACAATCACAGTATCGAGAGTTTAGATAGAAAATATTTATTTTAATTTAGCTGCCCAGCACCAGTTGTTCGTTGGTCTCAGTGATTCAACGATAAGGTTCAAGTTAAATATTTGCATAAAACAGTTTAAAATTTAACTTTTTTCTACTTAACAAACTCTTTTTTCCCTGCTACATAACATAAAAATAACTATGATCTGTCAGAACACTTTCATTTGTGACAGCAACAAACATATTCCAGTTCTCACATTTTACAACATTCAGTACTATTAGAGTAATTATTTTTTTATGAAATAGTTAATTTTTTAAATAAATAAGAAGGTAATTTTATTTTCATTTGCAAACAGGTTTTTCCTACCAGCATTTAAATCAATAAAATGAAATATATTTCTAACAGAGCAACTCCAGATGAATTCATTGTAAACAATATTACCAGAAAATTCATTAGATGTCAACTACTATTTTCATTTTACACTTTGAATTTAAAAAATTAAGATAGAAAGTGAAAACTAAATGCATTTAATGTTCTTATAAAACAACAAAGAAAGGTTTCATGCAAAGTAAACATCTTTGTTTCCTTAACTTCAAATGAAACTGTAAATTATATTTCTCAATATAACATCAATATTAAAGCCTCATATATTTTCAGATAGTGACCACTTTACCAACAAATCTGTTCTTAACCGCTTAACTGCAGTGGAAAAAGTATAAGATTCACTCCCCAGTGCCAAAATTTTTTTACACAGACGTGTGTAGTTATGCGATGTTTTAGTGGAAAAATAAGTGCAAGTTTCACTGTTCACTTTCATAAATAAAGAATAAAAGAAAAAATGAAAATACAAAATTTAATGTTTAGAGTAAAAGTATAATAAAAAATAAAAGACCCCCAAAATTGGAGTTTTGATCAATTTAACTTCAGACCAGTAAAGTGTAATATCAGGTTTTAGTGTTGTACCTTGTAAAATCAGTATACCTAAAAAAAAAAAAAAAAAAAAAAAAAAAAAATTCTTCTGAATTGGTTGGATGCCATAGGCAAGTTTTTCATATCAAGTCGTACCTATACTCATGCATCTTTCAGAGAATAGTCACAATCCTCTTCAATTGATGTAATATCATATTCTGAGGTGTCCAATCTTGAAGATGACAGAATTTGTAAAAAGTGTTCCTACTGCAAACAGTAAATGACAAACGGGAGACACAGAATAAAAAGAATAGGTTTTACTCAAACAGAAACACACGCAATAACTGTGCAGTCATTAGTCATCACTGTCAGACATATTTGTTAAAAAAAGCACCTACTACAAACGGTAAACAAAAACGGAAGACAGAGAATAAAAAAAGTATGTTTTACTCAAACAGAAACACAAGCAATAATTGCGCAGTCATACTTTCACCGTTTCAGAAACATTTCCCTCTTCTATACATATGTCAAGATTATTGTGGTGTTGCATTATAAAGCTTTGCAAATAATTTTACTGGTAGCAGCTCAAAGCAAATGACAGTATTTCGGAAGGGTGTATATATATATGCCTGGGGCAGTTAACCGCATCGGCTGAGCAAGGCGCATATATATATATATATATACACCTGCATCAGTTAAGGGGTTAAAGACTAAAATTTATTTGGAGTCAAAAACAGCAATATTTTTAATTGTGTACGGAATATTTAGGGGAATTAACAATAATATCACTTATGGACGTGAGGATATCGCCATCAGCTGCTGCCACAACATGATTAAATTTAGTAAATGGCGCAATAGCCACTGGTACCTCAGGTAATTTCCTAAATTTCCGATAGCCCAATCTGCCTCTGTGTACAGTAAACAAAAAGTTCTGCTTCCAAACAAGTCACATACCAAGTTGGACATATTTCAAAGCAAACGTATACCAAGGTACTCTTGTATTATTAAATAAATAATAGAAGAATTGCATCTCAAAGATATATGAAATGGTGCATCTCAAAGAGCAACAGGAAGAGGAGGAAGTCCAATTTTACTGGTAACTTTGCGATACAAAGTTAATGTCAGTAACGTTTTCTAAGTTTGAGGAAAAACCTTTTTTTTTTTTTTTTTTTTTTTTAAATTAAGACCTAACTACTGAAGTAAAGTCTGCTGTGATGCCGAACAGTGTTACTGTCTTATTATGCTGAACGAAAATAAAACCTATATAGACAAGTTTAGGTGCTTATTTTCTTAAGAAAGAAACTCCAGAAATTGATGTTGCTGACCCATCTCACATGCTAACTCCTTCAAACTTTCATACAACTTTTCCATAACAAATGTCCCCTTTATTTATTGATGAAGTTTGAGATGGTAAACCACAGACATTGACTCACCTCCACACATGCATCAAAGATGACAATCCAAGGTATGGATTGTACAGTAAAGCAATTGCTTATGTATTTATAATGTACTGTATTATTTTAAATTGAAAATGTATGATTTGTTTTAGTATTTTTAACTGTTTATTTGATAGTATTTATAGTTCTTATCTAACAAACATCGTAAGGAGATACGCGTAGTGAAACTAGTGAAATTTATGGGCAAATGGTTGTAACTTGTTTGTAAGGTGTAGATCATTCGTACCTGTAAATGTTTTATGCACTTATTTCAGTATTTTGGTATTTATGTACTGATTTGGAAGGGGGGAGAAAAATTCTTAACACAATAATATTGAAGTGTAGCAATGAAATTTTAATAAATAGTCGGCAATTTCTAGAAAATAAATCTCTTAATCGGAAAAGTAATAAGCTTGCTTACTTACTTTTGTACTAATTTTCGTTCGAGGGTCTGTCTGATTTGGCCACAAAGACAAATCAATTATGCTATCAAAATCTTCCCTAAGTAAGTAATAATTTTCCATTATTTTTAGCACTTCATTTACACCTTCTAGTTCATCAGTTATTAAAGGTCTGGTGAGAGCACGCTTCAGAAGAGGCAAATATTCAAGAGCAACATCAGTTTTGTTTCCAGTGATCCTGTAAGACCAGGTAAATTATTAAAGCATTCTAATGTAGACAATCAAAAAAATTAAAATGGGAAATACTCTGCCTCCCTTGCCCAATATACACATAAAATGTTTCCTAATCGCTGTTTAAGTTACTTTTATATAAGAAGTTTTAGAACAAAGCCCTGTTATCAAAACTTTCTTTATTATGTGAATTAAATAACTTACAAGAGAATGGTCTAAGTATTTATTGAAAAATATATGGATAAGTTTACAAATGACTTAGAAGGTCAAGAAATAACTATTATTATAACTAATTTGAAGTTCTTTTTAAGTAGAAAATAATTCATTACAGAAGAATAATTCAATTACAATGCAACATATGGCACTGCATGCTTTTTAGATTCTTTTCAGAAATCAGCATGAATGAGTACAAAATTTTAATGGAAATTAGACATTAAACCTCAGTTTTCCTCTGCAGTTTTATACATAGCATAGAAACTGTTTTATTTTTTAATGGTTTTAACATCATATATTATTTTTCATTCTCCCATTTAGTCTGAAATTTTAGAATTAATCTAAATAAAGGAAAGATCAACTGCACAAAGGAATGGAGGGATCATGATACATCTCCCATTACAGTAGGCCAATTGACAAATTGACAACATCCAACTAGCATTTTTTTTTTTTTTTTTTTTTTTTTTTTTTTTTTTTTTGTCTTTAAATACAACTTAGGCTGCACATCATATTTATGTATAATTTTGTGCAAATGTACATTTCTCGACACAAAATCAACCTTTTTCTTTTAGAGTGACATGATGAATATTTTCCATAATGCCTCAAATTATGCAAAAGTTAGAGTTACCAAACATCTATCAATTGCAGAACAGGACCCAGTTCTTTGGTACTATTTTTAATGTTCGGCTGACATTTCTGTTTCTTAAAAAAATATTCAGCGTTTTCTGTAACAAATTAACTTTTCATCATCTGATCAATTGTACTGTGTATGGTTGAAAGCATAATTTTAATGCATTATAAGCCATAATTACTACCATATTTCCTTTTTACAAAATGATAATTATTCCAATAATTACTTTAACCATATTATAAACTATAATTACTAAACTACTTACTAGGGCACTATTTATACAGTTATGTGGGTGGAGAAAAGTAGTAATAACAATGGAGGCATCTAAAATCTTAATGTGAGAACACAGCAGTCATTGTACATTCTAGATATTTTCATGTTTTGGACTGGAAATGTATTAATTAATTGAACACTGGCAAATGGAGTTTTCCTGTGTTTTTGAGTTTGTAAGTCTGTAAGTGCTGATGTGTATAGAATTTGAGATTAATATAATTGTATCTGATTTCATATGTCATGTTTAAAACAGAAAGGAAAGAAAACAGAAAAAGAGAGTGCGGGTTCTCAGAAAAAATAAAAGTAAAGTACCCATGCTTTGTATTTGGATGAAATGAATGAAGGTGAAGTGAAATACCTAATTTGCGATAGTTATGTTAATACGAATATAAAGGTTTTTGTGACTTAAAAAGACATCTTAATGCTGAAAAGGATGATAAGATCCAGCTATACATCTGGCTCAATGCTTAATTTTATAATTGAAAAGCTCATGCCCCAGATGCCACACTAGTATGCAACACAATTTTTCACCATCAAATTTATACAAATAAAATACGCATCTGAAGAATACCATTTAATTTGGAGTCTCATGTGCAAGCTTAGAAACGGAGCATTTTATTTTAAAATTTACACTGCTATATAGCACACTGTTTGCCGAAGACAGTTCTTGATGTCTCGGAGACATCAAAGTCTACAATGATACATGAAATCTATGATGTCTCCTAGACGTCATTGGGTGTCAAAGGGTTAATGAAATTGTACAGTTAAATTAAAATTAAAAAATGTTTCCAGAATCATAACATTTGGTTTGTGCAAAGACTAACCCACAAGCCATTGAAAATAACATAACTTCACCTTATACAGTAAATGTTATTACTAAAACTCTAAATGACAAGGTTCGATATTTTGGCCTGGGAACGGATCCAAACAATAACGGCGCACTGAAAATTTTCCCAACTGTAAAATAGTATCTTGATTATAAAAGAAATGGTATTGAAACCATGAATTTTTGAATTTGAAATTTTTTTAGATACAATACAGATACTCTAATGAAATGTAAATGTGGTTCTACATGCACTGCCTTTGTTGGAGAAAATGCAAATGTTAAATTTAGTTATTTCTGTGTAATATGAATATAAGCCAGTTTCCTTTAGAATGCCCTTCACAAAGGCACCCCAGTTCAATTCATATTATGGAGCTAAATTTTTAATAGTATTTTAAAAAAGCTAACCACGCAATTTTAATAAAATTTTATATTTTGATGTAATTTTATGTATCAGATTGAAATATGAAAATAAATACATTGTCCTCCTTAATGCAATGTACCTTATTATAATTCATCTCACAGTTGTGTATTACTTGCTAGTGTAAAAGGGTTTTTACATGTAATGATAACAAAGAGACATAGGATTATGCAGAATGCATTTTAAGTGCTTACTTCATTCGCATATGCACATGAAGCTCTTGGAGCACACGGTCCATATGATTTCTATTAGAATTTTTTCCAAGCCACGCTGGAAAATTTATCATCTGTCTTAAATGACCCCGCAAAAGTTCACCAGGAACAACACTAGCAAATATGGCCTAAAAATAATGAAAGCTAAACTTAAGTAGAAATATAAAGAAAAAAAAATAATAATGCATATCATTTGTATTCATACTTACTTGAGTAGGAAGAAGACCCCAACTATTCTGTGTCCTAATTCGCTTATCAATGATATCTCCAATACAGATACTATCAGCAGCTTCACTTAATAATGTAAGATGTTTTTTGGGGTCACCTCTAATATGATTGAAAGAGAAAAAAATAAGACAAAACAGAAAATTAATACTAAAAAAACTATTATTAATTACTAAAAAAAGTTAAATGTTTCAAAATAAACTGTTTTCTGATAAAGAAAAAAAAAATTATAACTGTTCATTTTCTACACACACTCAATTAGAGAGAAAATGCTAGCTTTAACAGAGGAAAATGAGATACAGATTGATAGAAAGTCTGAATTAGACATTAAATTAAATTTATATTACAATTAAATTCACCATTCCTAGGCTACACAAATTTTCTCTTTTATTACACAACAGAAAAGGCACTAAGAAGATTCCTGTTACTTACATTACATATTCAAAACACAATGCACCATTCATTTGCTTTAAAAAAAAAATAAAAAGTCTAAAGAGGCAATTTGCCCAGAAGGACTATTAACTTCGTTTTGGCATTTTGCATCAATTCATGATAAGCGTTGTTTCACTTTTCAAATTGTTGCCATCAAATATTATTGCCTGCATTTTATTTAAAGAAATTAAATAAAGAATCTGCATGAATGTATGTATGTTTCTCGCATTGTGATAAAACATCAGTACCTAGAGCCATCAAAATTTGAATAATGTAATCTTCCATAGAATATGGGCATGTGGAAGCCCGAAGTACTAATATGAATTTGAAATTTGTTTTATTATCAATTTCATATTTTGTAACACTTCAAAGAATTTTTTATTAACACACTAAAAGATTTCAAAGTGAGCAATGGCAACATGTACGAAAAAAGAAACATTTTTATCTTCAGCGTGTGAGACTCTGTATTGGAAATTCTAAAGATATGCTCATTAAAAAATTATTTTGTGATATTTCTGTTGAACTGAATTTTATGGTTCAAGTGCGAAGAACATGATATTTAAATAATAAAGGTAACAGACAAAAAAAAAAAAAAAAAAAAAAAAAAAAACTACCCTTTGGACGTGATTTAAAATCTGAAACCTTTCAGATTTTTTTGCTACTTTTCCCCCTCTTTTTCCCTTGTTAGAAAGCTTACAAGCTCTGATGTTAATCCCATATAATAAAGATAAGAATTTCACAATGCAGTGAACTTTAATAGCATGCCCTCCTCTTAAAGAATTTCATTTAGAAATTTCTTGGCTAGTACATTTTGCAATTCAGGGAGGGAAAGGCAGTTTTCAAAAACAATTTTTTTTTTTTTTTTTTTTTTTTTTTTGCATTACTACATTAGATTTTGGGAGAAAGAGTTCAAGAATATTATAGACAAAATCAATACTATTTTTAACAAAACAGAAAATTTTACATTACTACAGTTAACAGGAAAATTCCATAAAGATTTTGAATGCCTAATGTAACCTTGTTGTACTTTTCCTTTTTAATTACATAGCTCGTTGTAGGCTTCAGTACCCATACACGTCATTTCTTTGCTGCATCTTCTAATATGTTTTCGAACAATTTTCCCTCCCAGAAATCTCCAATAGAAGTTGTTGGGAATTTATATTATAAACGAAACTTATCAGTATCAATATTTAATTTTTTAAAAGATTAAAGCCAATGATGTCTCTATGGCATCCAAAGGCATATTAAATATATAAATGCTATGCAGTGACTTAACATGATATATGCATTGAAACTTTGCATCTCTGTGAAATTTCTACTGTAGATTTAAATTCTAATTCTCTACTTGCACCTGCTTTATCCCTTTCCCTTGGCCTTTCATTTTTCCAGCTAATTTCTGTAGTTTGAATCTGTTCAATATTACAATAAAATACTTTTAAATTTACAATAGTTTATAAAACAAATTTAAAATTCTTAATTTATCTTGAACCTATTTTCCGAGTTGTACTCTTTAATTACTTGTATCTCTACCTGTATCTGCTTTATACCTTCCCTTTGCCCTTTCATTTTTCAAGCTAATTTCTGTAGTTTGAATATATTCAATATCACAATAAAATACTTTTAAATTTATAATAGTTTATAAAACAACTTTAAAATTCATAATTTACCTTGAATCTATTTTCTGAGTTGTACGCTTTAATTACAATTATCATGATTAATAATTTTATATAGTATGTCGTAAACATTTTTTAGCTGAGATATAATAAGGGTTGAACTGTTTCAGTTTTATTTTCTCATCAAAAATAAATTGGATTATTGTTTAAAAAAATTGTTCAAATGCAATAAAGGGGAAAAAATGTTTGTATTGATTTTTACTGCATCATTTACTATCACAAATTTAAAGTAAGAACATCATATACAGTACTAAGACTGAAATCTAGATACCCTATAACCAGACCTCCCGACCACCAGCAAATTCTTTTGGGGGGGAGAGTAGGATATGCTTAATGCTTCCCACATGCGGAAGACACTTTTTCATAGTCAAACATGTGTTTCGAAGGGCCTAATTCTTAATTTCACGTTGGCACTAAATTTAACATCTTCATGTTAAAGAAACACAACAACTGATTAGCATAAATCTGTATGATCAATAATTTGGCTCTATATCTGCCTGATTACATAGCATACATATACAATCAAAACATTCTACCAAAATTTATCCCTGATTTTACACCTACCCTAACACTTATCATATAATCCTAATGCTAGCCTGGCAAATCAATTTTTAATTATTTTTTTGTTTTCATCACCACATGACTATAAACTCAGGACAGCTTTTAAATACCAGTAACTGAATACCAAAGCCTTTTATGCTAATATACCTTTTATGCTGACATAATGCTTGGTGATGTTTACAAACTTTGCAAAGTATATTGAAAAGGAGAGATTTTTAAAAATAGATTTTGTAAATGATAAAGTAACTGATCAGTTGTTCTGATATGATTTAAGGGAACTTTTATATTATGCACCACCAGGTGCTAAAAATGGCACATGGCAGGTGATGATATATATGCCATCACCTGCCATGCCATGTCTGCATATGTGTTTAGGTTTGTCATCTTTATCCTTCCATTAATACCTATCTCTACAGATTGATGACCCTACTATCTGCCTACTACACTGAAATGCCATACATTGTTATAACTAGAAGCTTTACAATTAAAATGTGTGGCAAGTACACAATGGAAAAGACCACCTTAAGTACATAACGGAATTTATTTCATAAGGACTCAGCCTCAAGCATATGTGAGAAATAGATGTAAATATGACAAAAATTATATAATTCAAATTTAATTTCGGAACTACTCTGATATGAGCCCTCAAGTCGCCAAATTTCTCGCCACACACTTTTGGCGAGAAACTTCATGCTGCCATATTACTATCTAAATTTTTTGTCTATATTTTCAGCTTTAAGCCTAAAATGTCTCCAAAAATGCGGTTTCGCACGCACACTGCAAACACACATGATTGAAACACATGATTTCAGCTAAAAATCGAAACAAAAAAAAAAATTAGATAGCAAAAACGTAAAGTTTCTAACCAAAATATCTGACAAGAATCCATGTACACGGCGACATGTTTTAAACTTAAAAAAAACATCTACGAATGGCAAACGTAGGCAACGAACGAATCTACGAACTACGCACACCTCGCTTTAATAAATTAACATAAGAAAAATAAATTGAAAGAATACCATGTACACAGCATCCTGTTTAAACTTAAAAAAAACATCTACGAATTGCACAATTAGCAGGAACAAATCTACGAACTACGCACACCTCGCTTTAATAAATTACATAACAACAATAAATTTCAAATAATACCAGTACCGTGTTCTGTTTCAAAAACAACAATAACGACAGAAATTCATACTAAATAACCATGAACATAACATTCTATAAAATAACAAGAATAAAATAAAATGCACTTACCATGAATTAATGCTTTTTCGAGCAGCAGAAATACCAATTTCATACCGCCTTTAACATGCCGCCACATAATCACTATCGTATTTAAATGACAGCCAGACACACTCTAGAAAATTCATACTATGGTTCACAAATAAATAAAATCACAAATCCCTACTTCTATCATGTACAGCCATTAAAAATAATCTCCCAAACCCTCTTTCCACACCTCCAAATCCCCACTATCCCTCAACAGGATGACCACAATGATATTTCCTTTTGCTGAACTTCAATTCAACAACTTCTACCATTTTATCTTTCCCTCCCATCTTCTCAGACACAGACGTGAATCAACGCGCTCCAGCGAAAGATTGTTCAACGTCAACAGGGTTGCCATAGAACATGCAATCATGCCAAAAACCAGCGCAGAACACATATCACCGCATTTGGTGAAATTAGGGTATTTATCAGAGTTGTACCTTAATTTCCTTAGCCCACAGTATGAGCAAGAAAAATTTTAGTGGAACAAATCTTTAGTTGCCAGTCATGAATACATCACCAATAGTGTATAATGGGTGCTCAATAAGCTTTATGATGACAAACATGAATTAAGGTTTTCAAATATTGCAAATAAAAAGCAAAGTTTTCCAATTAATGGAATTTATGAAAAAATGTAGAAACGTTACAATAAATGAAGATTATTCAGAAGACAGAACAGAAGTATTCCATTATTATGACAATAATAATGGAATACTTCTGTTCTGTTAATGGATTACTTATTTTATTTTGGCTGTCAACTAAAGCAAGGAATACAACTAGTGTGTTCCAGAGCTTTTTCCATATAAAAGTTCATAACTAGAATAAATTTATAAAATATTTCCATAAATTTTAAGGAAAAACTGATAAACAGTCTAAGGACTCCAAAAAGTTATATAATAACAACAAGAAACTTTTTTGTGTCTTACATAAATTTATGTAAGATACAATAGACAATAATATTTTAATTTCAAAATTTGTTCCTTTTCAAGAAATTTTATATGCATGTTGAACTGGCTTATTTCTTGTGTAGAATTTTGGATAAATTTTGTGCCAGACTTTGCACACCACTTTTTGCAATGATTTTCAAGCATCATTCATTATAATAAGTTTAGAGTACATGTGCCTAAATTTGTTATAGCAAATGAAACTCACTGCATATAATACCATTCTTTTCTTCATTGCATTTGGATAAGAGTTTTGAATAATAATCTGATTTAATTTTGAACCAACTTTTAGATATTTGAGGTTAATATGCCTTCTCTGAAACTACTATAAACAGATATGAAATGTGATAACAAGAAGTGGAAGTACAGTTCATACATTTTTGGCGCTCAAAAGTGTCTTTAATTTACATGCAAAAATATCTCTTGAAACTTTTACATTTTTCTGCTGAACAGATAGCATTTCCAGTTAAAACCATTCATAATTTATTATGTATAGTGCCCATTTTTTAAAGTCTTTTAAATCTACATTCAATGGAATCTCCAAATCATCTCTTAGTATTCTTCATTTATAATGTTCTCCTTTAATTTATTTATTAATTCTGTTTAGCTAGTGATTAGTCCCGATTTATTTCTTTGATGAGCATACTTCATGTATCGCATCTTCAACGATTATCCTAGATAACTACTGCAACCACAGACAATATCAATCAGACATTTTTTTTCGGGGGGGGGGGAAGTCTGCTGATAATTTTAATTAACAGGTCTTTTCTTTTTTTCTGACAGCTTTATGTTTTAGACTTTAAGCAATTGTTTTCCATTTTAATTATTAATTTAAATTTAATAATGGGACAATAAAAATAATAAAAGATTATATGTTATATGCACACAAGCATATTAAAAATCATAAATTTTAGAATATTTCAACGATTTTTATATGAATAAAGGGGTGTTTATTTGAACAAATTTCATTAAAAAAATACACTTCTAAAAAATTACTTCAAGAATCTTGTGCAATAATATATTTATAGAGAATAGTTCTGAATTATAAAGCATTTTATATTATATTACAATTCTTAAAATTATCATTCATTGCTGATAAGCTATAAATCAAGTTTCAAATTCATCTAGATATTTTCATGCGCATTCTCTCAAAATTTCCTTAAAACTGCAAGGGATAGAAATATAGCATGTGCTGTAGGAAATGGCTTGGCATAATAGAAATGCAGTAGGTGCATGGTATATAATTTGGCTCATTATGAATGCTCTCTGGACATAACTTAGCATTTACCTTATACATCAATCAAAATCAAATAAAAGCTTTCAAATTTCATGTACAATAGGGAGGAAAAAAACTTACTCAGCTGCTTTTGGTACAACATGAATATAATTTTCTTGCACAAATAAAGGAGCTATGGAGTAGTCATGAAAGAATAAATCAGATTTATCCATAAGAGTTGCTTTAGGATTATTTCCAATAGCGAAAACTTCCCTTAATACATCAAAGGTCCCTCAAAAAAAAAAAAAAAAAAAAAAAAAGAGAGAGAGAGAGAGAGAGAGAGGCAGGTTTAATTAAATTTATGAATAATTATTCTTATTTTTCATCTATAATATTTTTGGTTTACACAGAAAGAAAGGGGAAAATACCATTTTTATATGCTTGATACCTCTACCAATATCACTTTTTGTCTGTTCTGCAGAAAGGCCTTTTGATTTAGCACTCCATACAGACATATTATGCAGAACCTTAAAAAGAAAAAAAAAAAAAAAAAACAGATATTTCAAGTACTTTTATGATTATTAATCATGAGAATGCATCTAAAAATAATAAACACAAATAAATAAATAAAAAGGAGATTTGACTAACTTGACGAATATCTTGGTTTGCAGCAACAATAACATCTTGGAGAGCATCAGATGATACTTTAATACCTTCTTTAAAAGCTATAGACATCATAGCTGCCTATTAAGTAAATAAATATAAAATCAATGGAATAATGGTTACAACACAATGGGTTTTAGTTCATCATCAACATCAGTTGTACAGAAATTGAAACATTTTCTCACAACAAATTGAAGAAATTTATAAGTAACCAAGTAAGTTATAGGAAATTTAACTAAAATGAAAAAATTTCTAAGCATAAGTTAACTAAGTAAATTATAGGTATTAGTCTATTCATTTTATATACAATATTTGTAAATCATTCAGCTAAATATTTTATTATCAAATCTAGATCTACTCTTAAAATAAAATCACATTTAATGTATGTCTCAGTTATCATGAGCAGTACATACTTTAATTAAAAAAATCATTTATAGATATCTTAGAAATGATAGTTTTACAACTAATTCTCACAATTATTTATTTTTTTATGATAATGTACAATCATTCATTCTGCAAAGATTAGCAACACACTAACAGGCTGAATGTACACCGATGAAAAAAATCAAATGAGAAAGAATAAAAAGGTTCTTTATTTTAATTCTACTTAATGAAGTTTAGTGAAAGCAAGCAATATGGCAGCAAGGTCAACATTATTACATAGGCCAATGGGTTTCATCTTTGCTACAAAGAAATATCAAAAATTTGTACCTGTTTCTTTGGCATGTATGAAAACGAGAGCAAAGGGATATTTCAGATTCTAATTTCAAGGATAGTTTGAGTAGCTGAATAAAATTCTTGTGTGTGGGAACAAGAATATGTCACAGAGAAGGCATATGACAGACTGCGAAAACTGGTATGTAACTGAAAGAATGGAAACAGGACAGATCCTGTATCTACAATTAACCAAATGAATTATGCCAAGAATATGAAACAGTTTAAGACACTAGTGATGAGTACAGACAACCAGGACAAGGTCAAAATGTGCCACAAGACTGTTATTTAGAAATGATTATTAAAAGAAATAGATAACTGATACCATAACAGATTGAAATGGAGTTTGCTTCAGCTATAAGAACTCAACTAGGCAGATATACCATGAGTGAAAAACTCCATAAAAGATTGCTGAATGTAAAGAAAACCATCGTTTGTGCCTTGCGAACTTGGGCTGTAAAATGCTTCCAGTGTAAAATGCTTCCAGTTGCATATCGTCATGATTGTTATAATGTGACTAATTCCAAACACTAGAATCAAGTTCTCTTCATTGATATGTCTTGCTTTTGTCTGAAGAGTGATTCTATGCATGCTACAATCTAAAGGAAGCAAAACACATGAAGTCATAAAACATCTATAAAGGAACTGAGAGAAAGACGATGAAATCATGATATGGGCAGGTATCATTTTGAATAGACACAATGACTTTATCGGTATAAATATGTACTCTTAAATGTATAGAGATAAGGTTCTTGATCCTTGTGCAAAGTTATCTTGGGCTACAATCTGTAACAACTTCCTCCTAAAGAAGTAGATGAAGACACCTGCATATCCTTCAGATATAAATCTGACAGAACATGTGTAGGGCATATTAGGATGCTCATTTGCATCATTGCAGTTTTCATCCAACATTCTTCAAGAGTTTGAAGACACTATTAATCATGAAACATTTTATTACTGCAAGAACTCCTAGACAGTCTAATATACAGCATGAAAAATCATGCTTATATTCATGCTAAAGCTTATATTTTGGTTAAGGATGACCAAACACCTTAATAATTTTTCTATTTATCTCTTAAAAAATTATAAGGACAATTTTTACTGCCCTTTTTACATCACATTTCTTATGATCTTATAACACTTCTTTTAATAAGTAAGTCTGCATTTCGAATATATGTCAAACATGATAAAATAACAATCTTGTGCAAGTTCCATGTTCTTAGCTGCAAAATTATTCAAGTTACATGTGTCTGTATAGTTGTTCCTTTAATTTTTTCTGCCAGTATAAATATGCAGGTCAGGACTTGCCCCAGAAAGGCCCTTATCTGATGAAAAATAAAATATTAAATATGAACAGTTTTTATTGTCTGAATTTGCAAACTGGAAAACTTATGATAATTGTCATTTAATCTGAAAAAATCTGTCAATACAATAATTATATCCAATGATGTTTACTAATAATCTGACTAAACTTAAATGACCACTTAATCTTCTTATTGTATAGAAATAGGACAAAACATATGAGTACATTTTGCCTTTGTAGAGGAGTTTATATGGCAAGCAGGATCATAACTATGTCACATTGAACAGAAAGACCTATTACACTACAGGAAGTAGGGATTACACTAGGATTAGCAGGGGAGACTAATAACAAAATTACTAGTGTTCAGTGATTGTATAAAGTAAGTTGTAATTTTAAGCATATAATATATTCATATGCACATTAAATTAAGAAAATATAATTTTAATGTTTTACTAAAACCAACACTGGAAACTATAAATTTTGGGCTAAAGATTTACCTGCTAAAATCAATTACAATTAAAATTTTACTTTTTTTCCCTGGAGGGAAGGATTTTTATTCCATTTTAAGCTAGTTTGAAGAAAAATATAATTATATTGATACGCAAATTTTACATCTGAATTTCAGTATGCTATATCTGAAAGAAGCCAAAAAATACTGAGCAACTGGAAATCTAACACATCCAGAAATGTTAATGCTTATTTCGCCCTCTACATTTTGATGTTCACTTCTACATATTTTTTGCATGTTTCTAATTGGAAATACATCTAGTTCATACATGCACTTTAATTTACCTTAAATACTCATAGATCTAATCTCTGCCATTAAGTAATTAATTATCAAGCAATTAATTAGAATTTCTCCATGTACATGCATGTATATATACTGGTTTTTATATGTATGCTTTTTATTACATGCACATATACTGCAGATTACTTTTGTTTTTCCTGTAGCAGTGTGCAGACAAATTTTTGTGTCACTGAAACAATTTTTTTAGAATGTATTGTGGCATTCATTGTGTGTTTTAAACAAAACTTATTAGCAGATCTGGTTTATAAAATTTTGCTCTGGAGGTTTTTTCAATCCTAGATACAACATGTTTCAGAAGACTTACTGAGATATCTGATTGCAAATTAAAAGCACTGATTTAAGCTGATCAGTCGGCACTGGATTTTTTGACAAAATGATACTTGTGATTTACTGTAAAGTTTAGTAAAACTCTTGTCTTTTCATTTTACAGTGGAATAGCCTTTCCAAGAATATGAATATATGGTAGATCTTTAATGTTTTCCTTGATAGTTGCTAACAGTATGCTCATAGACCATTTTGGTACTTGAAGAGGAAAACATACATATTTCATATTTCAGGAAGAATACATCCCATCTTGTTCTTTCTCCTCATAAACATTTTTTTGGGGGGTGGGGTCAATTTCAACAATTACACTGGAGCCTCTATCTTTTTCTCTGATATCCTACTAAAGGATTGGCACAAAATTTTCACATACAGGTTTTCTCATCAACAACTGCTTTTCACTTCATGTCACTGAAATCATTTCTTTACTCTAATCGTAAATGAATATCAGAGATATTAGAAAAACTCAATTGTGATATTACAAACAATACTACTTTACGAATACTCTGTAATATACAGAAACACTGCACTGCCATTAAATGATGTCTTCAAAATACAACTTCATTTCAGGATTTTTTGCTTTAGTAGTTAAATGTCATTTTTTTGAAAAAATAGTATGGATTATTCCTCAATTGTGGTCAAAGCCACATGATTTGCTTTTGAAATAATACCAATATGATCCATTTTTAAGTGATTAATAACTAATAATTACAAATTATTGTTTACAGTAAGAATGAATGCAAAAGATCATAATCCAAGTCAGTTTTAACAATATTAGAAGAAGCCCATGTGATCAATTTGATGAGATCAATAGGAAGTTGTTCATTTTACCAAGAAACAAAATTATCTTCAATGTGTTAGCCTAAAAACAAACAAAAATGAGATGCTTGGAATTGATGAATTCTCAAGGTATTGTATTCCATGACTACAATGCAAAACACCGTACATTTTTAGTCACTTGAAAGAAACCACTGGAGATTGGTTGAATGTGTTACCAAACCTTCTACTACAAAACACTGTACATTTTTAGTCACTTGAAAGAAACCACTGGAGATTGGTTGAATGTGTTACCAAACCTTCTATATAGCCCAAACATTGCATAGCGAGACTACAATTTATTTCATGGTCTAAACACTCTTTGGTAAGAAGAATTTTCATTTTAGATAATAATGTCAAATCCCAATTGAAAATTTCTTTGAAGGAAAAGATCAAAAATTCTTTGAGAGAAAAATCGCAGAATTGCCTGGAATACGGCAAAGAGATATTGAACAAAACATTACCAATTTAAGTTATTTTTGTGAATAAAAACACATGCATAAATATGCGTGAGTATACAGATGAAAACAAATTTGTAATGCATATTTTTAAAATAAAATTTAATTTAAAAAACTTATATCAAAATTACCTTTATTTGCTCAACTCGGGGCTTCTGAAATCGCAGATCAAAACAATAATTGCTTAAAGATCTTATTTTCGGGTGATTTCTATCATTACAGATGCATATGATGGGTACTTTGGAGGCCTTGATGAAACTTATTAATTCCTAAAAATTGAAACTATATTATCATTATAACAATAACATAAAGCAAATTTTGTCACTGAATAATTTAAGTTGCACAAAAATATTATTAAAAATAAGACGTAAATTCAGACTATTAAAAAAACGGAAATAAACAAGTAGCACATTATTTGAGTTTGGAGTCCAATCTAGGGAACTAGAATTCCAGTTTGTCAGTTACGGAAACTACATAAATGGAACCTATGTATGCCTACAATATATTACAAACTGAATGTGAAGGCAGTGTTAAGTTATAAAATAAACTGCTGGTCATCCAAAATTACACAATAAAGGAAGTATCCAAACAGCATGAAACTTGTATCATGTTGTATACCATGATGGAATATGCAAATGAGATTACGATTTCAGCGCACATTTTGGCCGACTCTGGCACTCCTTACAATCCATATATAAAAGGATGAAAGACTGCCATTTTGAATAATGTGAATTGTTCTCTCATAAGATTTTTTATGTGTGCAGCTTCAATATACCTCATAGAAAAATATGAGCATCATTTGAGCGCATTTCTGAGTTTGACTGAGGTAGAAACGCTGCATATAGTGACTGTGGATTATCCTTCCAGGAAATCGGTCATTGTGTCAGATGTAGCCAAGCAAAAGCCATGTGAATATGGAATAGGTGGATGAGAAGGGAACGAATGACATACAAAAGCAATTGCAACTGCCTCATCTCACCACTCGACGAGAAGACAGGCATATTGCACGCATGGCACTGAGGGAGTGCAATGCCACATCCACAATCACATCACAACAAATGCAGTCTGTAACACAACAACTGGTGTCTGCATGAACAATTCAACATCAATTGCAGTACAATGGATTGTCTGCTAGGTGTCCATTGCTTTGCTTACCATAAAGCACAAGCAATTGCATCTGCAATGGTGCACTGAAGGGCAGAGATGAACATCAGAATGGCACGATACTGTGTTTGCAGATGAATCATGCTTCTGCCTGCAGTACCACAATGGTTGGGTTAGAGTTTGGAGATGCTGTGGGGAGAGGTTGCTCGACTGTTGTGTTATGCATCATCATGCTGGTCCAGCACCCACTGTTATAGCATTGTTTTTTCCCAGAGGAGGTAAAAAGACTAGACCACCAAATTTGAAATATCAAGGCAAAAGAATCAAATTTGTAGATAATATGAAAGATCTTGGCATTATGATTGATAACAAATTAAATTTTATAGAACATTTTAAGTTGGTACAAAGACGAACTGATCTGATTTTATTAAATTAGAGAAGAACCTTTTCAGCAGAGATTTTAGCCTTGAAATCCTCCATTCTAAAGAAGATTTACTAAAATGTAGTGCTTCCAATCATCATGTATGGAATAGGAGCCTGGGAATCCAGGGCAGGGGAACTGGTTAGATTACGGATGAAGTTAGACAGTATTCAGAGAGCTTGGGGTTTAGCTTTAACCCGATGTTTTAGAACGGTGCCTACTGAGGCCGTCTTTGTGTTGGCTGGGCTGCCTCCTCTCTCAAATTTATACGAATTTTATTATGAGAAATTTTTATTTAGAACTGGAGGAATGGAATTGAAAATGTATGAAGATTATTTAATTACAAAGAATGTTTTTGAAAAATTTTATATTACATTTAATATTCATTCCTTCCAATAGATTTGGTTTTGTTTTTGATAAATGTAATCCAACTGTTGATGTGTTTGATATTTATACAGATGGTTCTGGGGTCAGAGGGAGCATAGAAGCTGCCTTTGTTGTTTTTTACTATGGAACTGAGGTGGATTATAGAATGTTTAAGTTGAACATATATAATTCAGTTTTCCAGGCAGAAAGTGAAGCGTTCAAACAAGCCTTATTATGGATTAAAAATACCTTGTTTATACCCACGTCTGTAAATATTTACACTGACTGCCTGTCACTTCTCCATGCGCTCTCCCGCCCAGACAATTTCAATCCATTAATTGTCGAAATTAAGAGTCATTTAGAAACTTTGAGTTCATATTTAAATATTAAGCTACATTGGGTTAAACACCCATATAGGCTTTATTCGTAATGAGAGAGCCAACGGCTGGCCAAGCAGGCGGTCTTAAATGTCAGTGCAATGGATACTGAAGTAACAGGTTTGAAGAGAATTGCAATTCGAAGAATGAAAAAATTTTACGTTAACAAATGGAAAATACAGTAGTTCTCTTCACCTAAAAACAAAGGATTTATGGAACTAATTAAAATCACAAATACAATGAAATGTATGAACAATATTGATGTTAATCAAGTTTTAACTGGACATGGTAGGCTTCCGTTCTATTTCAACTGATTTAATCTGCAGGAAAATACATTATGTAATAGTTGTCAGGTTGATGGTGATGCTAGGCATTTCGTCGTTGATTCTACGAGGGTGGGAACTTCAATAGGGCAACACAGCTGAAAAAACACTATGCAACAAAACTCTTGCGTATACCACACGTGAACTACGTACCTACCTTACCTCTCAGCGAAAAGACTTGTCCTGCCTATGTCACGCACATGCGGAGTGATGCGAAGAATGGTTCCTTGTATTAGCTCGCGGTCTAAAGTAAATGTTGTCAGGATGTTTTCAAAACAAGAACAGATATGTTGGATAAAAATTGAATGTACCAGATGTCGTACAGCATGACAGTGTCATCAAGGGCTTCAAGAGGCTTGCGGGGAATCTGCATTGCCTTACAGAACCGTAGCAAGATGGGTGAAAGCATTCAATGAAGGACGCCAAAACGTGGCAGACATGCTGCGACCAGGTCGTCCGAGTGTCAGCGATGCAAACATGCAAGCTGTTGCCGCACTAATGGACAGTGATCACCGCCAAATGATTCATCAGCTGGCCGGAAAAACAGGATTAGCGCATACGACTGTGCTGCACAATCTGAAGGAACGCCTGTCCATGAGAAAAATTGCTTCACGATGGGTTCCACATCAATTGACAGAAATGCAGAAATGGCTACGATACGATGCTACCCGAACCCACCTGGAGCGCTATGAGCACGAAGGAGATGCTTTTTTATGCTGTATCATTACGCTGGATGAGACTTGGGTCCGATCATACCAGCCAGAACTGAAATGCCAATCAAACAAATGGTGTCATCACGAGTCACCACGATGTTCGAAATTTCGTCAGAACCCCAGCAAAGTGAAAGTTATGGTGATTCTAGTGTACGACTGTGATGGTGTCATCCTAACACATACCGTTCCCCCACAGCAGACCGTCACTGAGCAGTATTACTGCTCATTTTTGGAGCACAATCTCCGACCAGCTTTGAGAAAAAAACGGCAACACTTTCTGCAGAACGCTCCTCTCATTTTGCATGACAATGCTCAGCCGCATGCAGCGCAAGCTGTGACTGATTTGTTCAAGCGATGGGGCTGGGAAGTGCTTTACCATCCACCATACTCCCCAGATCTAAGCCCTTGTGACTATGACTTAATTCCTAAGATAAAGGAACCACTTCGTGGCACTCGCTTCCAAACTGTTCCTGAGATTCTTGCGGCAGTAGACCGGCCCATTCAAACTATCAACAACAGGCGCTGCTACAGGTATTCTGCAACTTCCACATCCTTGGAAACGGGTTGTACACGATGCTGGCGACTATATTGAAGGACTGTAAAACATGGTGACATGAATCACTTTTGTATTCCTTGTAAATAAATAGTTGCCACTATTAAAGTTCCAACCCTCGTAGTTTAACAGCCCCTATTAGACAGATTTTTAGCATTACTGATTTTAATAAAAGTGTCATTAATTTTAAAGCTTTTAAATCATATTCTATTGCTCTAATGAAGTTTACGAATGAAAATAAGGCGCTAGTAGGAATCTTCTGTTAAAATTGAATGTATTTATATGGGTTTTAGATATCTGTGGTGTTCTATGTTGTAAATTTGTGTTTATGAATTTTTTTGTTTGTTTGTTAGTCTGCAATTTTGTGTTAGATGTGCTTATTTATTTTTGATTTAGTATTTTTGTTTGTTGTTTGGGGGTGGCTGGGTTACTGGCTGCCCTTGTTTGTGGAGATACGGGGCCCCTTCTTTTGAGCTATGGGGACACTCATGTCCAGGTGGGCTGAAGGGAGCCTCCAATTCTTACCCACTGTTATGGTGTGTGGTGGCACTGGATTCTACTCCTGGACTCCCTAGTATACATTAATGGTACGTTTACCAGACAGTTGCTATATTTCTGAGGGTCACAGCCTCTTCTCCTTCCTTACCTTCAAGGTTTGCGTACGGCCACATTTCAACAGGACAATGCACGATCACACGCTAAATATAATGTTTAAGTTTGCTTCTTAGCCCACTATACTGCTTTTTACCCTGGCCTGCCTATTTTCCAGATCTATCATCCATCAAAGATGTCTGGTTAATGATTGCAACACATAGCCCATTAATTCTGTACCCACAGGTACACCAGTGCTGCACAGGTACACCAGTACCAGTCCACATGTATCCAAAGATGAACTTGGATACATGTGGAGGCAGCATGGGTTACCATTTCCCAATAACACATACAAGCCTCTTTCTCTGTGCTGCAGCATGTAGCAGCAGTTATTGATAAACATGGATGCAACACTCATTACTGATTTTCTTATTCTCCTCACTTAAAAGGAGGTTGTATTTCAAATCAATTAGCACTGATATTATGTGTAATCTCTGAAATAAAATTAACTTTGATATCTCTTGTATTTCTTCAAGCTGTATTTCGGATGGCCAGCAGTGTAATTAAGTCATGACTACGAATAGATGGGATGAATTAAGTGCATATAAAAATAGAAAATGAATGAAGTAAAATGCTTTAGATTTAGCAGTGACAAGATTCAGCGTGTAAGGATATTTAATGCTTTTTTTTTTATTTATTTACAATTGTTTTATCAATAATATAGCAGTATTTAATAATAAATAATTAAAATAAGCAAACAATATAAAATATCACATAAATAAGATACATTGAACTGTCTTTAAAAATGTTGCACTCAACAAAAAAATTTCCCTTCGGAAGTTTTATCTTCCTAATTCTAATCTGTCATTTTTGTAACGTAAATTATCATTCTGGAACTGCATACCTTCATTTCAAAAAAGTTTCTTTATACCACAACAGCACTGAGTGTGTTAATAACTGAATTCCAACATATGTAGATGCATTTTATCTTTTCTGGATTAAATAAAATGCTTCATTGTTAGTTTATTATTTTAGTTTATGGTACTGAAACATTAATCAGATACTGGAAAGGAACATATATTTTTTTTCACAAATTTAGTTTTCTAATTCAGTGTTGCTAGAATAACATGCTCTAGACAATGTTTTCCTCCAATCATTATAAAAATATGTTTCAAGTAATATTAAAACTGTTTAAATAGAAGTATATTAATTAAAAAACACAATAAGCACAAATTCTGAATTATTATTTTTCAGCTACTGTAATTTTAAAATATTTTATATTCTCGAATAAATAATCTTGCATCTACCTGCATTCCCCCTCTGTCTTCATTTCCTGCCATGCCATCAACTTCATCCATTATGATAACATGTTTCTTAGTCACTTTACCAATACTGTCAGCTGAAAATGAAGAAAAATTATATAACACAAAATACATCATTTGCTTCTTAACCCCTTCGTGCCAGGTAGTGCAAACGCACACTTATCGCGGAGGCTGGCAGTGTCTTACGCGAGCGTCTGTCCAGGGCCTGGGGCTTTTTTGCTATTAAGCCTAAATCCATGAAATTTCTGAAGTATCAACGCATTGTTTAATAATGCTCTATAGAGTATTTAAATGGCTTATGCTTTATAGATATTTTTATATATACTTTAATTACCTTATTTCTTGTTTAAATGCATATTTTACACATTTTATTTTCATTACTCACCATTTTATGACTTTTAACATTATACATCTGAAAACTAAATATATTACTTAAAATTCTCTTTTCGTATGAAAAATTTGAAAACAGGGATCTACACACAGTCCTACATTACATTCCTTGCACTCGTTTGTCGTTTTGGAGGATTTTTTTGGGAATGTGAACAAACGAAGCATCATCGTCTCATTTTCTTATCAGTCTCTTCTGAACAAAGTTTTGGAAAATGTCTTTCAGTTAATCTGAGCGGATTTAATGATTCTACTGATCTTGGTATGATTGCAATGATAAAAACAGAAAGAATTCACGTCTAACAAGATCTAATTATTTTCTAAAACAGAAAGAATTCACGTCTAACAAATTTTCTATTAAAAAATATTTATTCGGCCTGTTTCTATTAAAAACAGAAAGAATTCACGTCTAACAAGACCTAATTTAAACCGAAATACCCAACGCTTTAGCGAAAATAAAACTCCTCTACTTACAATAAACTACTACCACGTGCGAATTTAAAGAGACATCATAAATCACGCCATTTGGAAAGATTTATTTCCCTTTTTGTTCATATTATAACTCAGAATGCACAAAATTTGTATCACTTAAAGAATTATCTAATCGTTGCCACATGTTCTATTCAAGTACTATAATAAAGCTAGAATGATGTATAAAAGAAATTAAGCAAACAAAACAAAAAAGAAACAGTTTTTCACAGACGATTGAGTATTTCTCATTCAATTAATTAAGTTCTCACTTCACGACAAGGTAAAAATACATAAAAACTCAAAATATCTCTACTAAAAATTACAGTCAAAATTCGTTAATTCGGACACCCATAATCCGCAATGATTGATAATCCAGACCTCAAAGCTACAAACTTTCTGCGCATGCGTCTCTTTGACGCATGCGCGTAAGACCTTTACCGCTGCGAATCTGCGTGCACAAAATACATTTACAGATGTGCATTTAATGTATAACGGACGGGATAAGCTAAGCTAAAATTATCTAATTATCTATTTCAGTTAATGTTGCAGATTGCGTTGTTCCTTAATCTTCGAATTAGATCCGGATTATTATTTTTTGCAGACTGTTAGAGCAATTTTATAAAAGTAAGCTTGAACTTTCGATTATGTCAAATAAAATTTCCGATATATATTTACTAATATGTTAATGATATACAAAGCGAAAGTATATTTCGGAGTCCATTAAACAAAAAGTGGAATTGCTGCAAAAAATGGATAAAGGCATATCCTTTGTTTATCTAAACTTTAACGTTTGTTTATCTAAACTTTGTTTATCTTTAACGCGGGGTGGCATGCAATGAATCGGAAGTTGATCTGTCAGCACTATCCTTATCTTAAGGGCAGATGTTTTTATTTTTTTGGCTTATAATTGCTTACTCAATGTAGTATTTCATCTCGATGTACTCCATCTTTGATATGATTTAAATCAAATGCCTCGTCATTATAATTCGCTTTCGATAGCGAAGAAAGTAACAGAGGTTATTGAAAACGAAAAAATTTCGATTGACAAATTAGTCGGTATTCTCGACACAGCAATTATAGGACTTGAACAGCGGAACTTTGTAACTGAACAAGAAATTATGTCTGTTTATAGAATTAAAGAGAATGTATTATCACATAAAAAACGAAGCAACTTAAACAACTTACATTGAAAGAAATGTTTAATAAAGTAAACAAATAAATATTAAGCTTTTTTTTTGTAAATTTTGATACCCTTTAGATCATAATTGTTCTTTATTTTGTAAATTACGGTTTCATATTTTTAATTTTATAATTTCTGCATGCCATTTTACCAGATTTAAACTGATGATCTATAATTCGGAAAAATCGATAATCCGGTATCGCTGAAGTCCCGACGAGTCCGGATTAACGACTTTTGACTGTACTAATTATTAAAAATTAAGTAAATCTTAAACACTTATTTCCTCGAAAAAATTGCAGAAAGGATTAAGCATGATTTAATCGCAGTAATAAATGAAAGCGTTTCTCTTTGTTGTTACGAAGCTACGTTTCTTTAGATTGGCAACAAATTCACTACTCAGCTGTTTCAAATATAAACAAGCAATGGCCGCCATCAAAATAGGCTTAGCGGAACTTAAACAACTTTTAAATTGTTGATAATTCTAAAAATATTGCATACAGATTTACTAAAGGCATAAAACCCTTAACCGGAAGATAAAAACAACATAATTCAATCATTTTTAAAGAAAAAAATGTACAATTTACAAACATATAAGAGTAAAGAAACTGAGATCACCGAGCCGGGTAACAGAGTGGATATATTTATAAATATATTTATATACATTTGGCGCGGCCGATTGAAACCAAATTAAGATGTGGACATCTACATGTTATAGTAGTCCTATATACAAAATTTCAATGTTCTGAGGCTACTCGTTTTTGAGTTATGCGAGATACGTCCGTACTTTCATATGCACGTACGTACATACGTTTGTACAGACGCCACGAAAAATTCTCTTCAGAATTCATTTTAAAGCAGTTTTTTAGTTTTTCTGGAGGAAAAGAGTCTTTTATTCTGTCCTTACGTACAGATATCACGCAAAAACATCGTTAAATTGCTTTCGAAAGCGGTCAAGTGGATATTTTTGTTGAAATATGCTGCCTGAGCTTTTCGCGATTACAATACTTCCTTTTTACTTAGTACAAGGAAGTAAAAAACAATTTTTACAATTAAAATTACAGTTTGTAAGCAAAAGCAAGCAATTTGGCCAGCAGGCAAGAAGGCAGATTTTTTGATGCACACAGCTGAAAGTTTTGGTTTCGTCCCACTTGGCAAAAAGAACTGATGGTACAGAAAGACTTAATTCACTATTATGCTAGGTTTCAAATGTTAACAAATATGGCTGTTATGATATAAAAAATTAGGCTTGGCCACACTTGAACAACTTTTAAATTGATAATTCTATAACTATTGCATGCACATTAGCTAAAGACATAAAAACCTTAACCAGAAGATAATTACAAATATATAAGAACTAACAGAATTTACTTATATAAAATAATAGCAAGGAAAAGACCAGAATACCGTCGATGCATACGTAGATCCATATTGAAAAATTCTGATTGTGTACTATGCTAACGTGTTGACTTCATAACATCTTTGCAGTCCAGGCAGGAATTACTTCAGAACTACTACTACTTACTACTGGAATTATTTCAGAAATGATCTACTACATGTTAAATTATTAAAAAAAGATAATAAAGATATAAAGATAAAAAAGCATTATATTGTAGTAAAATAAAGTAACATGTTACTATATACTACTTTAATTTTAGAAAAGGGAAGAACCTTTAAATCAAGAGATAATTTTTTTTTAAATGAGACAGCAGAAGGAGATAAAAATGCACTATTACCTTTAAAGCAGTCAGCTAAAGTTTGATTGCCCAATAATTCTGAAACAGCCACTTGTAAAATTTTCTTAGACCTTGTATCTGAAGCATTAAGTTCAAAATAATCATACCCAGCTTCCTGGAATAATTCACAGACTTTAGTTTTATAACTAAAAGGTTTCCAATAAAAAGATTTAAAATATAAAAACTGAAATTCAAACACATGATGGCATTACTTTACAAACTAACTGTGCCGTAGTAGTTTTTCCAACACCAGGTGGACCAGACAGAAGTGCAGCTTTGTATGCTGAGCCATCATCACCTGCATTAAACCGTCCTTTAAGAAGAAAAAAAGTAAAACTTCAGTGAGGAAACATTATTTTAATCTTCTATGCTGCTTGAGTTCAAAAACAATTACTGCATTTACTCACATATTTGCTGCAATAGTTACCATTTCTGAGGGCTCAGAAAAAATATGAGAAGAATAAAAAGTACATACAAAGAGATGAATCAAAATTCCTTTATTCTACATTTCACAGAAGTCAATGTAATTGACTTCTTTACTTCAAAGTAATAACTGCAACTGATTTTAAAGTAATAAATTCAACTGACTTCAAAGTAATCAAGTAATTTACTTACTTTTTACTTACACATATTTAACACACACATTTTACTTACATATTATATTTTAATTTTCATGCATATCTTGCAAGTTGCATATATTAGAAGTTCTCTAAATCATACGTTGAAGGAGCTAAAAGGAGGGGATACATCAGAAGCAGAAATATACGAGTATAAATAGCACTTCTTTTTGAAGCCAACCATAATGGTCAGTAAACACTTTATCCATTACTAAAATAATATTGATTTATTAACCCCTTACTCCTCACAAAATTTTGACAAAATTTATTAAAAAGTCATGAATTTTTTTATTAACGTTTTTTAATGTTTATGAAATTTAAAATAAATTCATATAATAAACACTATATTTTTCATTAAATTGAACAGTTTCTTTAAATATGTAAAATTTTTTAACTTACCTTATTATACTTTATATTTGGCTTTCCTCTTACAAAGAAGCTATGCAGAAAAGCTTCAATGCAGGCCTTTAAGATTACATTTAAATTTTGGAGACAAAATTTCCCGTACGTTTTATTAGGTGTAGTATAACTTCCTGATTTTTTTTTTTTTTTTACTTAAATTATTTTTTATTTACTTAAAGTAATACACACTGAGCTAAAATTTTTCCCTATTTAATAATTTACATATTTCCTTTTTTAGGACATTAAATAATGACTTTTAACAAGAAGACAACTAATCCATAATTGAGTTATGTACAGAAAATTTCAGGTATGATTATTCGTCAATAAAAACATTGTTTCTCGATCTGAAACGTTTCCTGACCTCCCAAATAAAAGAAAATGTTTGGAAGATTCCTTTAGTACAGAAAAAAGATAAACAAATACTTCCAGTATAAAATTAAATCATATATTTTACACATTTTAAAATATTTTATATGTTTCATATTTATAAAATTTGAACTTTTATTGCTAATTAAAATAATACATAAAAAGAGGCACAGGAAAAAATTAACAAACTGTAGTTTACACTACTCAATAAAAAAATTACATTAGAAAATCTTTACTTCTTTTTCCACTGAAATGCCTCATTTCAATTAAAATAAATATAGTAAAAAACTAAATAACAACAAAATTTTTTTGACTTAATTTACGCTATTTGTAAAATTTTATTTTAACTAACCCAGTTATCTTATTATTGTGGCTTTTCTGTAACTTCTATTTTCATCAACTTTCATCAGAACGCAAATAAGTTTCATGCAGAAATATGCTTATAGCTGATAAATTTATCAGCTTAGCTTAGGCTGGTTTACAGACAACATAGGCTGGTTTCATTCTGCCCTAGAATTTCTGCTGGTGCAATATACCTTGCTGGCACAAGTTTCTGCTAACAATGATTTCTTCATAACAGCTTAGTCAGGGTAAAGCTAAAATTTAGGCTAGGCTTGCTAATTTTGTACTCTACATTTGATTCAGTTTAAATGTGTGTTTTTTTAACGACTAGTCAGCAGAGTTCCTGCTAATATTTTTAATTTGTGTAACCATCAGGTTAACATGTTAATAAATACTTTTATTAACCTTTTACTTTAGTGGTGATATTTCAGTTAAAAAGTTAGATGAGGTGAAATGTTATCAAGCAGTCTATTATGGTTATCTTGATGTTCTGGCAGTTTAACGTAATAAGACAAAATGTATATTTTTAATAAAAAAATTTTTAGATAAATGTATATTTTTAATAAAAAATTTTTTAGATAAAATGTATATTTAAAAAAAATTATAACATTAAAAAATCCTTAGTTCATTCTTCATTGAACTAATTTACATCCATTATTCAGCTAACCCTGGTATTTACATGAACTATGAGAAAAATCATGAAAATGACAGGCAGTCATTACCCTCAGATGTCAGAAATAGAACCCAGAGTAAACTTTGATTTAATCCTGATGCCATGGGCCTGCTGATACCTGCAGGAATTAAGCATACTCTCCCTTGATTATCTATGGTTTACTTCTAAACATCACAGAAGTTCTTATTAATAAAATATTTGGTAATTTAGGGTTTACCTCACAGTAAACCACAAAAAGATGACCTTATGGATACATAATTTAACCCGTTAACACCAAATGTGCGAGTACGGACATGGAAAACACCAGTAAAGAAGGAATAACAACACCAGTCGGGGTTGCAAGTAAAATCAGATTTCTTTCAGATGAATTTCATTCTACTGTTAAAAAGTCATTGCTTGCATTTGGTAGCCAGACACTACAAATACTTATTTCATATTAATATTTATTTATTATTATAAATTTGTTTACTACAAATATTTATATTTTCAATATCACTCCCCATGGAAGAAAAAAATGGCAGTTCATCAAAGGTAAGCTATATTTTTTTCATTTTCTTTATCTCACAAATGTTGTTAGTTTCCTAACAAGCAGAAAGTTTGTAATTTATGAATATACTTCCTTTGTTTGAAATAAAAATATTCCTTTTAGGAACAAAAGAATGTTAGTATAATCACATGATCACACTCGGCAGCAATAGTGTTATTTTTTTCATGAAAAGCATCTTTTTGTTTGTATTTTCATAAAAAAGTATTTAATTTTTGGAACATAATTGTGTTACACTCATAATTTAGAGAATAGTTACAAATAGCTACATTTTAAAAATACAAAATGCCTTTTTTTTATCTGAAACAAATTACACTTTGTATTTTATTTTAGATGTATTTATTTCCATTTTATGCTCATGATATTACTTAGGTTTTAAAAATAAGTAAGTCTAGTGTAAGTTTTATTCCCCAAAGTAAAAATTGTAATAAATTAATATTAAAAAGTTCGAAAACAGTAAAATAATAATATAAAATAATGAAGATAATTAGCTTTTATTTTCTTAATTACTTTTAATTACACTTTGTGTTACTCAGAGATAATGTGGAATGCTATATATTTATTAAAATAATCTGCTTATAAGAAGGGATTAACTCTTGAAGAAGCATTAGCTATATTAGCTGAAGATGATGATTTTTAATGAAATGCCTGAATCTCCTGTATTAAGAGATGAAGACCCTGGAGATAATGATATTGGTGGCCTACTAGATAATTTGACAGGTTGCCAACTCAGATGTGGGTCTAAAATAATATTTTGGAGACATGATGGAACTCCAGAACAAGAAAATGAAAGTTTAACACAAAATGAGAATATAAAATGACAAAACATTTTTAAAAAACCTGATGTTTACACCACGACTTCCTTGTACAGAATATTAAATTATATGCATTTTTTCTTGCATTTTATTTAAACTTATTAGATTGAATTAAACCTACTTCGCCGACAGCACATAAACCGCAATAGAATAAATGCATTCTTTAATATTCACTTTGTTTACCATAGTGACACTCTGGCGCTAGGTTTACTTAACAGTATTATATTTCATTCATATTATAACTCAGAATGCACAAAATGTATATCATTTAAAGAATTATCTAATCGTTGCCACATGTTCTATTCAAATACTATAATAAAGCTAGAACTATGTATAAAAGAAATTAAGCAAACAAAACAAAAAAGAAACAGTTTTTCACAGACGATTGAGTATTTCTCATTTAATTAATTCAGTTCTCCCTTCGCAAGAAGGCAAAAATACAAAAAAAACTCAAAATATCTATATTAAAAATTACGAAGTAAATCTCAAACACTTATTTCCTCGAAAAAATTCCAGAAAGAATTAAGCATGATTTAATTCTCAATAATAAATGAATGTGTTATCTTTGTTGTTGCGAAGCTAAGTTTCTCTAGATTGGTACAAATCCATTAGTCTCCTGTTTTAAATGTAAACAATCAATGGCCGCCATTAAAAACAGGCTTAGTGGCAATTAAACAACTTTAAAATTGCTGATAATTCTAAAAATATTGCACACAGATTTACTAAAGGCATAAAATCCTTAACCGGAAGATAAAAACAACATAATTCAATCATTTTTAAAGCAAAAAATGTACAATTTACAAACATATAAGAGTAAAGAAACTGAGATCACTGAGCCGGGTTATAGAGTGGATATATATATAAATATATTTATATACGTTTGGTGTGGCCGATAGCAACCAAAATACGAGGTGCACATCTACATGTTATAGCAGTCTCATATACAAAATTTCAACATTCTGAGGCTACTCGTTTTTGAGTTATGCGAGATACGTACGTACGTACGCACATACGTTCGTACAGATGGCACGAAAAATTCTCTTTAGAATTAATTTTAAAGCAGTTTTATAATTTTTTTGAAGGAAAAAAGTATTTTATTCTGTCCTTAGATACAGATATCATGCAAAAACCTCATTAAATTGTATTCGATAGCGGTCAAAATGGATATTTTCGTTGAAATATGTTGCCTGAAACGTTTCGCAATTACAATACTTCCTTTTTACTTCGTACAAGGAAGTAAAAAGAAATTTGGAAATATGAAGATTTGAAAGCATCTCAAGAATTATTTCCTGGAGAACAGAATGCTAAGTTCAATGATATGACTGCAGTAGATATATTTGAAATGATATTAAATGAAAAAATTTTGGAGTTTTTTTTTTTTTTTTTTTTTGCTACCAAACCACAAATTTTGCGCTTTTCAAAAATGCTTCTGATCCAAAAGTATATTTCCAAAATGAAAGTATATTTGGCAACACTAATACTATCAGGATATATCATTTTTCATCTAAATGATCCTTTTCAGATTCTTCAAAATATTTGAAAAATAAACTGGTTGCAAATTCTATGCATCAGGATGGGTTCTTAGAAATCTGTCGTTTTATTCATTGTACTGACAACAGTCAAATGGATCAAAATTATAAAACATGGAAACTAAAGACCTTTTATGTCTGCTTAAAGCGAAGTTTATCTGTTTATTCAAAACTGAGCAACACCTATGTTTTGATGTAATTATGGTAGTAACAGCTGTAACGTTTGTATGTGGTAAACCTATATATTTCAGCAGTTTGTACGTGGTAAACCTATACATTTCAGGTACAAAGTATGGTGTCAAAAAGGATATCTCATACATTTTGAGATATATCAAGGTAAAAATCCAACAAAGAATAGTGCATATGGAAAAGAATTTAGTAAATGTGCTGCATCATTTCTTCAGATGCTTGATGAATTGCCAAATAAAATACAAAACTTGCCATTCAAATTACATTTTGACAACTTGTTTACAGGTCTACTACTAATAAAATTATTTAAAAGACCAAGGATATAAGACAACAGGAACAATACAAGAAAACATAATACCAAAAAATGCCCTTTACAAAATTCAAAAGGGATGAAAAAATTAATCACAATTCACATATTATTCAAACAAGAAAGAATGAAAATAGCCATTACACGATGGGTAGAAAATTCTGTAGTTACTGTTGCATCAACAAGTGATGGAATCGAGCCACTATCACACATCTCAAAGTACTCTAAAACTAAAGAAAAGAACATAAAGACCAGCTATTATTCCAAAATATAATAAATACATGGGAAGAACAGACAGAATGGAGATAATCTCTCATATTATAGAATTTCTATAAGAGATAAAAAATGGTGAGGGCCAGTATTTACTTAGCTCTTTGATAGAAGTATCCAGAATGCATAATTCTTATAAGAAAATCTGGAGTAGATACATTGTAATTAGATTTTCGAAGAGAAATTGTTAAAACCTATATCCAAAAATATGCACTTCCTCCTCAAATACAATACCAGTACCAAGAGCAACGTATCTTCAATGATGGATAAATAAAGAGTGTTTTGATGGAATAGGATACCTTGCAGTTCCCTGCAAAAGGCACCATTGTTATTCAGATAACTGCAAAATGTGCAGAGTGCCAAGTTGGACTATGCATTTCTTGTTTTGCGGATTACCACAAAAAAAAAAAAAAAAAAAAAAAAAAAAAAGAGAGAGAGAGAGAGAGAGAGGACGAAACTGATTTTGTATAACAACAATTTGGCGTTCCGAAATATATCTTAGAGTTTAAATTTTGATGGAGTTCAAATATCTTACTATTCTCCTTATAGATTTCCTAGCAGTGCTTCATTTTCATCTTACTGTGTGTTTTGTTAACCTTTATGTAACAAATTTACACTAAAACTTCTTCAAAAATTTGCAGTGAGTTTCATTATTATTTATTCCACTTATATTTAATTAATTATTAATGCTTGTTCTTGAATTATATAGTTTTATGAAGGAAAATTAGCTTTTATGGAAATGATCGATTTTTATGACATTTACCTAACTCTAATAAATGTTAATGCTGAATGTGATCATATGGACATGGGCTATGTCTCAAAACATATTTATAATTTTTTTTTAAATTACTTTCACACCATTCTTAAAAGATCCTAAATATAACACTTTGAGATTCTGAACCTATATGTAAAGTTTAAAAAAGTCCAGCATTAAAGAGTCAAGTCCAATTTTCAGTGAAGTCTAAGATAAGGTACTTAATCAGAAAATTATTTTTCTTTCTCTGCTTCAGTAGCCATTTGTAATATCTTTATACAAATCCAATATATAGTTAAAAAAATATATAAAGTAGCAACACGGTAGTATGATTTTTTATTGAACACCTAATTAATTTTTAAGCTTTATTGCATAAATGTCAATATTTCTATAAGCAGTACTCAATCATACTTGAAGTGAAGATTACTCAGAATTACTATAATCCTATATTAATAGGATCTATTTCACATTATTTAACACCAACAATGCTCAAGAAATTTATTACATTAAAACAAACTTTAGCTACTGTGTTCTATAATATAATGTGCAATGTTTTAATTAACATCCAAGATTAATGCAGAAAATAAAAGTTTCAAACTTAAATAACATATAAAATCATTACCAGGGATAGGCTTTTTGCCCAGTCTTCTACTTTTTGTCCAATTCACTAACCAATGTAAGAGTTTTTTAGCATTACTTTTATCACCTTGTTGTCCAATAACCTGTTTTAGAGCTAAGGGTTTATACTTATCAACCCACATAGAATGTCCCTGATCATCAGACTTTTCTGACTTCACAGAACTCTGCTGCAGGAGGAAAAAAAATGTACATAAGATATAGACTGGAAAATAGATTTATATTTACTGGTATGTGCTTTGAAGATATATTGCTTTATGCTAATAAGGTACATTGTTTACAGAACGTACTTAGTATTCTCTTAAGTTAAAACAAAATTTATGTTGTATTTCCCGTATGTAATAAACTTTAGATTAACCCTTTGCACTCGAGCAATGCCTCTCAGGCACCACTGCATGTGATGCAATAACTCGAGCGGTGCCTGAGAGGCACCATTCGAATCGATGTGTTTATTTGTGTTTGACCTAAGGAATATCGCTTGAGAGATCTACTTGGCCTTTTGTAGATCATATTACGAGGTGTCTGAATAGCTATAAGGATGTATTATCTCAAATAAAGGTTGTCTTTGCAATGCTTATGCGATTAAATGTCTTATCTCAAAAACACTTGCAACCGCGGGTAGGACTCTGTCTTCGACATCAGTTCGAACTCAATCTTCTTGCTGATCGCAGTATTTCTTTCAAAGTTACTGAGCCCAATAAGTATGGAACACGACGAAGAAGTTACTTCTAGCGAAGATGAGTTTAATTTTTCGGCAATAACGAACGAAATTACATCACTACATAGACAGCTTGCCCATGAGAACAAAGACAGAAGTGATAAAGATAGTGACGACATTAGAGGAGCAAGAAGACGAAAAATCTGAATAATCGATAGTGAATCTGGAAGCCAAAGTGATTGTACAGAAGAGACTGAACCTTCAAAATGGACAGTGTGCGCAGAATCCAAAGAAATCCCCAGAAGAATACCGTTTATCCGGTGAAAGACAAGTAGGACCACACGTATTTGCACACGTAAAAGAACCAATAGATTTTTTCAAATTATCCAAGGAATTAGTTACTGACATAGTGCAAGAAACTAACAATAACGTTGCAAGGAAGGTGGAAGGGAAGACCTTATCATCCTGTTCTATATGGCGATTATGGTACGATGTAACAGTTACCGAATTTTGGGCATTTATTGGGGCAATCATAAATTTGGGGACAATGCCACTGGCAAAAATACAAGAATACTGGTTGAAAAATGATACTAGTTATATTCCGTTTTACTCAGACACGTTTACGAGAGACCGATTTTGTCAAATATTTTGGAGACTTCACCTCAAGACAACACCCTCAGAAAATACAAACCCTAAAACCCGTTTGCAGTTAGTATCTGGTTTCCTCAAGTATATAAATGAAAGGTTCATGAATTATTTTGTACCCGGAGAGCAGATTTGTGTGGATGAAACGACTGTCAAATTCAAAGGCCGCACATCATTCATTACATACAATCCAATGAAACCTACAAAATGGGGTAATCGGGTTTATACGCTCGCAGATTCAAATACCGGCTTCATTTGTGCTATTCTGCCATATTATGGATCTCTAACAACAGAGACTTTGATAAGACCCGATCTACGGGTATCAACCAGAATACTGCTACATCTATACAAAATGATACAGGATAAAATTCCCGGTGTTCAGAGACACCACATATTCACGGACCGTTATTATACGAGTTACATATTGGCAGAAGAATTACACAAACAAAAGTACCACTTAACTGGGACAATCTTGACAAATAGAAAGCACCTGCCATGTGAAATACGAAAGCCAAAATTTGAGAATCGAACCACATGTGCATATCGTAAAGGTAATATTTTGGTTCTTGCGTGGAAGGACAAGAGGATTGTGACGGCTTTGACTACTTGGAATAATGCGGGAATAACTCCTGTTGAAGAACTCTACAAGGCGGTATTGAAGTTATAAAAAAGCCCAATGTTATTGTAAATTACATGAAATTTATGAGCGGTGTTGATTGAGCTGACCAACTGGCTTCGACATATTGTTTTTTAAGAAAATCGGTAAAATGGTGGCGAAAACTATTTTTGGGGGGTTTGGAGATCTGCTCCATCAATTCATACATTCTTTATAAATCAGTAAAGAAGCAGAGAAATGAACGGCCGCTTAGTCACCTACAATATTTGAAAACTTTAGTGGATCAACTGAGAGAAGACTTTCGACAAAAACATCCCAGCACAGCTTCTACTTCACACAGCATTTCTGAAGCGATCCAACTTAATGGGAAGCTGCATATTATTTTGATGGGGCAAAAAAAAAAGATTGCAAGGTTTGCTCCCAAAGAACGTCCCAAAGGCGACAAACTGTATACTACTGTGACACATGCCCCAACAAGCCAAGGATAGTCAAGCAATGAGCAAGGAGATAGTTTTGTCAAATATCATACGAAGCAAAATTTTAGAATGTAATGTTTAATACATGTATTTCATTAAGTTAAAAAAATATGTATAATGTTAAAATATATGAGTTTAAAGTGTTTTATTGTGTCTAAAATTATTTAAGTTAACAATAAGGAACTCGTGATATAAGCGGGAGTGGCTGATTACTCTCAAGTTGCTGGTTCATCCGACAGAAAAGCGCCTCGAGCGCAAAGGGTTAAAATTAACGATTAAAGTATATGATATAAAAATTAAAAATAATTGTTATGTCACAGATTGATATGTTATTTTTAAATATGCTTCTGTAACAGAATTCACTAACTACAGTCAAAAGTCGTTAATTCGGACACCCATAATCTGGAATGATCTATAATCCGGACCTCAAAGCTACAAACTTTCTGCGCATGCGTCGCGTAAGACCTTTACCGCTGCTAATTTGCGTGTGCGCAAAATACGTTTCCGAATGCGCGTTTAATGTATAACGGATGGGATAAGCTAAGCTAAAATTATCTAATTATCTATTTCAGTTAATGTTGCAGATTGCGTTGTTCCTTAATCTTCGAATTGGATCCGGATTTTTATTTTTTGCAGACTGTTAGGGCAATTTTATAAAAGTAAGCTTGAACTTTCGATTATGTAAAATAGAATTTCCGATATATATTTACTAATATGTAAAGGATATACAAAGCGAAAGTATCTTTATCTAAACTTTGTTTATCTTTAACGCCGCGGCGGTGTGCATTGAATTGGAAGTTGATCTGTCAGCACTATCCTTATCTTAAGAGCAGATGTTTTTATTTTATTTGGCTTATAATTGCTTACTCAATGTAGTATTTCATCTCGTCTTTGATATGATTTAAATCAAATGCCTCGTCATTATAATTCGCTTCCGATAGCGAAGAAAGTAACAGAGGTTATTGCAAACGAAAAAATTTCGATTGACAAATTAGTCGGTATTCTCGACACAGCAATTATAGGACTTGAACAGAGGAACTTTGTAACTGAACAAGAAATTATGTCTGTTTATAGAATTAAAGAGAATGTATATAACATAAAAAACGAAGCAACTTAAACAACTTACATTGAAAGAAATGTTTAATAAAGTAAACAAATAAATATTAAGCTTTTTTTTTTTTTGTAAATTTTGATACCCTTTAGATCATAATTGTTCTTTATTTCGTAAATTACGGTTTTCATATTTTAATTTTATAATTTTCTGCATGCCATTTTACCAGATTTAAACTGATGATCTATAATCCGGAAAAATCGATAATCCGGAATCGCCGAAGTCCCGACGAGTCCGGATTAACGACTTTTGACTGTATTCCATGATTCAAAAAAAAAGCATTTAGACATAATAAAAGTTCATCAAATTTAGCTTCATACATATACTTTAGATATCATACTTTAGTTTGGATTATATTAATCTGAAATTTAAAAAATTAAAAAAAGTTCTTTCTCATATATAATTTAGGTATTTAATAGGAAAAAAAAAACAAATAATATACAAATAAATATATAGAGGCAAAAAAGGCAATTTTTAGAATTTTATTAAACTGATTATTGACAAAAAAATGGCACACTTAAATCATTTTTTTTAAATTTATGTAATAAATTTTTAAAGATGTTTAGAAGCCCATTCTACATTTCATGAGCTGCTACAGCCATACAAATAATTATATAACACAGAATGGAAAATTCTGAACACATAAAATAATAAGTGCGAACAAATGTCTATAATATAATTATGAAACACATCATTTCACAGATTAAGTGACTAATTTTTTAACACTTAGTTTAAACTGTAAAGCTAGAATAATGTTCTAAATCTTTAAACTTAAAATAAATATATACTACCAGACACTGAAAATGCAACACCAAGAAAGAGTGGCCAGAAACTGATGAAACTCAGCTAACAAAGAGATGCAGCAATGAACAATAACCATTCTTTATTTTGAAATGATATGCATAATACAGAGCAAGAACAGCATCAGTTCTGTAGGTTGTAGAACTACCTTAGACGGAGACATATGAAGCAACATGTCTAGGTACAGAGTCAATAAGACTACTGATGGTGTCCTGAGAAGTGGCTCTCCACTCCTTGTCAACCATTTACCACAATTCGTCTTCTGAACGTGGCAATGGCAGGGTCTGCAAATGGCACCCAGTCACATCCCAAATGTGTTGAGAGATCAGGACAGAACAAAGGGAGAAGCATCTGTACACCTTGCAGAGCATGCTGGCTGATGCACTGCTCACATCAGTGTGCGGTCAGGCTTTATCCTGCTGATAAAGGGCACTGGGCACTCCCTGAAGGTAGAGAGTGTCACCAACCACAGCATATCATCGGGCTGTCATAGTGCCCTGAATATGAACTAAAGGTGACTAGAACCGAATGCAATTGTTCCCCAAACCATAATGCATGTTGCCAAACACTGGGCCATTCCACAATTGCTGCCGGATTGAATCTGTCTCCACATTGATGCCACATTCGCATGCGGCAATTATCATTGGAGAAACAGAAGCATGACTCATCATCCGAGAACCTGACCCTATGCCATTCTGTCGTCCACATGGCTCGAGCCTTGCACCATTGCAGACGTTGCCGTCTATGATGGAGGATCAATGGCAGTCTTCTTAACAGACTCCATGAGTTCAGGTCACTAGCCACCAATTGATGGCAAATCATTCTGGTCGATATGGAAACATCCAAGGCATCCTGAACATGCTACAGAATGGATGTAAAAATGGCTTGTGGGTGCACCACTACTTGTCGGGGAATGTGTCGATCCACGCGTGCTGAAGTCGCTCTGGCTGCACCAGCACCCCTCGAACTTGCCACATTTCTCTGTTCAAACCCTCATCACCACGCCAGTGCACTTTGGATGCATCAAGGTGTGTGTCAGCAGATATTTGCTGTATGAACCAACCTGCCTTTCTCAGTTTGATCACTATGCCCCTCATAATACCATTTGTCTGCTGGAACTCCTTTGACGATGGCCTGGTATTCTCTGCTGTTACACGTGCCCTTAGAGACAAGACCAAATTTTCTATGATGATTTCCCTAGCAAAAATAATGACACAAAAATTAAACATTCTGCACCTATACTTTCTTCAACGTGTGCTGGAGAACAGCGGATTTCACATCATTCGCATAACATGGTGATGTGCATCTACACTGAAATTGTCATGATTTTTGGGACACTCTTTCTTGATGTTGCATTTTCAGTGTTGGGTAGAGTATAAATAAAAAATATAGGTTAAAAATTATTTCATACACAAGAACAGCTCATTAAAAATAAAATCCATAGCAAATTATCGCAATAAATTAATGAAGATAATCTAATATTAATCAAGCATGTATAAGTTTGTTTAAATGTAAAAATTTGATTACAATATACTAAAATTCAATATTTTACCTCAGGTTTAGGAATTTCCTCAAATTCATCCAATGTTGATTTCTTCAGATTAGAATCTTCCTTTTTTAATTTCATTTCTGCCACCTTTTTTGGGCTAGTCTTATGTACTGGCTCCTTATGCAATGAAACACTTTCTTTAAGATTCATTCCATTAATTTTATCATCTTTAATACTTTCTGAAGAAGTTTCATTTAATTTTGCAGCTTTGGGAGATTTGTTTTCTTTAAACTTATTGGACTTTGCAGAACCATTTTTTCCAGGCATAGTCCTGATTAAATCAAGCAACCCGTCTTCATCTAACTGAATGGTTCCAAATTTCTCAGCCTAAATCAGAATGCAATAAAACTTCAGCTACAAAGAATATAGCTTCCATTTTCTTCATTGTGACAAAAATAAAATGTCTTAAGTTCCTTCAGATATAGAATAAATATAATAGAATTGAATACAGAAAGATATAGAATATAGAAATTATTTAATAGAAATTATTAAAAAAAAATATGAAAAACCTTTTCTAACTTGCTTGCTCCAGCATCCCTTCCAATGACAATGTACTTGGTATTTTTAGACACGGTTTTCATTACTTTTCCACCATATTTTTCAATTAATTCTTGGGCTTCTTCTCGCTCCATTGATTCTAAAATACCAGTAATAATAAAAGTCAAACCAGCCAAGCAGTCTTCTTCACCCTAAAAAATACATAAATACATATATAATATTTGTAATTATGTGTACCCCAATATATAATAGAAATATTAATATTTAGTTTTCATCTCTTCAAAAGATCATTATTTGTCAAAAATCAAACATAATGATATAATTAAATTAAAAATCTTCATAGTGATTATATACATTGCACTCAACCTTAGATGAATCATAATATTTAACATGTGTCAATACATGAACCTGTTTAAAATATAAATAATATTGATGATAATCATTTTTAAACACGAATTATTTACCACAGGAAAAGAATACCATAAAAGACTTTCAATAAAAAATACCTTAATTATAAAAATTGGGATTAATTAGAACATCCTTGCCAAAATTAAACGTTCAGCAACGTATATTATGTATAAACAAATTAAATTAAATGAAAAATATAACAGAATTAAGCTTATGAGAGATAGTCATAATAATTTTCACTAGAAAATTTGTATAAGTGATATTCATTTTACATCATAGGAGATGTGGAATAGAATAATGATAAAAATGTGCAATACATAAATTTTCTTTAACGTACCTTTTTTTCCCTCTCATTACATTTATACATAAATCTTTCTTTGTTCAAAAGACTGCTGCTCTTTATTAGCTTTCTTTTCCTTTAAAAAATTCTGACCAGCAGCCGACTACGGAGCACCAGTATTTTATTTTGGGTTCAACCAATGTCCAATCACGGAGCACTAGTATTTTACCTTGGATTCAACCAATGTCCAAACACAGAGCTTTAGTATTTTATCTTGGGTTCAAATCCTAGACACTAAATGCTGGTACAAGATTTTCTCCCACAAGAAGTATATACATGAGGCATTTCCTCTTGGAAAGTCATCCGTGAAAGCACTTCTAAGTCAAATAGAACTCAGTAAGTTGTAAAAAACCTACTCATGAAGTTATAAGTATCTTCTCCTCTATCTTTTAATAGGTTTCCTATTCTGGACTTCATACTGCTCAACGAATAAAAATAACGTCCTTCAAAGTAATATTTTTTTTAAGTTAGAAATCTATTGTCAAATTCACTGAATATAAAGAATGTTCAAGTAGTGGATGGCATTCATCAGTTAAAATCTATCGTACAGGAAATATGCTATAAGCTAGTTGCATAGCCTTGATGCTTTACAATAATATTTACTTCAAATGATACATATGAAAATTAAATGGAATAGTGAGTAAAAAAAAAAAAAAAACAGCCTTGCTTTATTATGAAATCTTCCAAGATCAATGACTAGCCCTGAAGATAATGCCTACAGCCACAGCGTTAATTCTTACATTGCACCAAATATTTAAAAGAAACATAATAAGCATAATAAAATTTGAATTTCGGTGCTAAATGCCTTTTATAAAATAATATATATTTTTTAATTCCATAATATGAAGGATTTGTGTATTTTTTAAATTCCTTTAAACTTCTAAAAAAATACTTATAAAAGTAATGCATTAGTAAAACAAACATTTTTATAGAGATATAAAATATAACACACACAAGGAATATTAAAAATACTTTCAAATTATTCAAGTATTAAATCAGTGTAAAGAAAATATTTTTTTTATAATTTCTACTGGCAAGCACGATAAGAATATACATCCCAAAATAAATTACAAGATAAAAATGTGTAACTAAGTTACTTAAAAAAAGTGGAAACAAACATAACAGCAGAGTATTCATTTATTATTATTCTAATTTCTAATATAAGCCTCACATAAAGAATGTTACTGATGCAGTATAGTTTTGGAATCGGGTGGACCACCAGTAGCTGAGCAATAAAATAACTGAGCACTGGCAATTCGGTTTCAATTAAAATCCGAGGAAACAGGTTAGATGCATCAGTTTTCATATTCCCCCAAGCATAAAATGAATATAAGCCAGTTTGCCTTAAGCAGAAAACACTCATGTACTTTCACATAACCCAAGTGGATGCATATGTCAATCATATGGCAAAGAGTACTAACAATACAAAACATGCTATGTTGTATCATTTACATATTTTAACCAATCTTTACATGAATTTCTTTGCTTAATGCTGTAATGGTAGTTAACCTTCAGCAATTTGCATAACATATAATTTTTCAGAAATATTTTCTATAATTAAATTGTAGCACAGCCATTCTTTTTTAGCTAATTCATAATGATTTCCATTTCATAATTCTCCATAACAACAGAGTATCCACTAAAACATAATTCTTTTTATCTTTGCAGTAGAGTTTTATTTAACAACATAAACAACTTGTATTTCATCATTAAATATGGTAGCGAATTAGCCAAGGGAGCATTAGAATGGAGCAGTATACTTAGCGTACCCCTGCATTCAGATGGCTACCCCTTTTGGAAGCACTTTGCTATAGTATACTTAGCCTACCCCTGCATTCAAATGGCTACTCCTTTTGGAAGCACTTTGTTATATATAAAACAACTAGTTTTTTAGTAAAGGTACCATTCAGGATTTCCAGTGTAAGTGATTTCAAGAGTACTCCAGTTTGTAATGGATTTGATAATATTTTGCTTAAAGCTGGGTTAATTTTCTAGAAATCGAAAGAATTAGGAGGTTATTTTACAGCTGATCATGGTATGGCTTCTAGATTTTAATGCATAGAATTTTTCTGCAATTTAAGAAACAAAACTGTTTTTCCTTCAATTTACTTTGTCGATGTATTTTCTATTAATAAAATCAAGGCATCAGATGGCAATGTTTAACTGATTCAGTGATCAACTTTTGTTCTTAATTTTCCATATATTCAAATTCATTAACCCATTAAAAGCCAAACCTATTTTGCTCGACATTCCTTTCATACTGTAAGTTACAAAATCAATGGGGCAGCTAGTTCCTAAGAACAGATGCAAGGAATAAAAAAAATCTAAAACTGGATCTTAGGGGCCGACACGGTGTTTAGTATATTAAATCTGCTGCGAGAGGCAATGAATTATCAAGAATTCCTGAGAAAAAATTTAAGTTTTCTACTAAGTCACCAATGTAGATGTCAAAATTTAAATACAGTACAAGTCTGTAACCCGGACATCTATAATCCGGACCTCAAAGCCACAAACTTACGCATTGCGTTAAGCACAAAAAATGAAGCAACTTAAACAACTTACGTTGAAAAAAATGTTTAATAAAGCAAACAAATAAATATTAAGCTCTTTTTTTTTTTTTTTTTTTTTTTTTTTTTTTTTTTTTGTAAATTTTGATACCCTTTAGATTATAATTGCTCTTTATTTCATAAATTATGGTTTCATATTTTTAATTGTATAATTTCTGCATGCCATCTTACCAGATTTAAATTGATGATCTATAATCTGGAAAAACCCGTAATCCGGAATCGCCGAAGTCCCGACGAGTCCAGATTACGGACATTGTACTGTAGTATGTAATTTTAAATAAAATACTGAGAGAGACTAGCAAGTGGTTGTTCATATTTTAAAAGGTTATTATTATATTATTATAACATACTCTCTTCTGACATCAGGATCATAACCAGCTGAGAACATTAGAATTGATTTTCATTACTCCTGCTAATTTAAACAATGACTTTCTTTTCCAAATCCTATGTAGATTTGAAATCAACACCCATCAAGTTGTATTTTTAACTAGGGCATTCTTTTTAGTTTGACTAAATAATGTCATCTGTTAGTCTGAGAAGTGAGGTTATCTAAAACCAGCTTATTCATCAGCTGGAAGTTGTCCCTAGTCTTAAAAAACAATCGAATCTATCTAGGCTAAAATCACCAATTCTGAAAGAAATTAGAGCAGAATAATCTGATCAAAAACTGATCTTTTTTACTTCCTTACAAAGTAAAGGAAATATTGTAATCATGAAAAATTCTGGGTACCATCCAATTTGCCCACAACCAAATGCAATTTAACAATATTTTTGCATGACATCTGTATGTAAAGACAGAATAAAGGACTCCTTTTCCCCAAACAAATTATAAAACTGATTTTAAATTGATTCAAAAGAAATTTTTTCATGGTGTCTGTACACACGTACGTATCTTGCATAACTCAAAAATGAGTAGCCTCAGAATGTGGAAATTTTGTATATAGGACTGCTATAGGAAATTTTGTATATAGGACTGCTATAACATGCAGTTGTGCACCTCTCTTTTTGGTTGCAAATGGCCGCACCGAAAGTATATATATATATATACCCACTCTGTTACTCAGTTCAATCAGCTCAGTATTTTTTATTCTCATATGTTGGTCAATTGCGAATTTTTTGCTTTAAAAATTATTGAATTATGTTGTTCTTATAAATATATATATAGCCACTCTGTTACTCAGCACAGTGAGCTCAGTTTTTTATTCTTATATGTTCGTAAAATGTGCATTTTTTGCTTAAAAAATGATTACATTATGTTGTTCTTATGTTCCGGTTAAGGTTTTGATGCCTTTAGTTAATCTGCATGTAATATTTGTAGAATTATCAACAATTTAAAAGTTTGTTTAAGTGTGTATATTTTTTTTTAACCACAGCAGCCATATTTATCTGAAATTGAGACTTAGCAGAATAGTGAATTAATTCTTTCTGAACCTTCGAGTGAGACCAAAAGGAAACTTTTAGTTTTTGGGCACAGAAAAAATCTGCCTTCTTGCTTGCTCGCTAAATTGCTTGTTTTTGCATAGAAACTGCAAGTTTAATTGTAAATTGTTTTTTAATTGTTTTAACTGTGCTTGATGTTTTATGTTTTTCTATATCTTTCAATTTTTAATGAAAATATTTTGATTTTTTATGTATTTTTGCCTTGTTGCAAAGTGAGAATTGAATTAATCGAATGAGAAATATATCTCTAATGAAAATGAGGAAGCAAGTGTTTCATATTAGAGGAAAATACTGTTGCCAGTCTGTTTCGGACATGTTTACGAGTAGCACATGCGCATTAGGAAAGGAGCATTGAATCGCTTGTGAAAAACTGTTTATTTTTTATTTGTTTAATTTCTTTTATACATCGTTTTAGATTTATGATAGTATTTGAATA